TTAGCATCCTGTAAGTATAAAGATTTGTTATATTTACTTTTTTTAAGTAAAAAAAAATCACAGATTATAATAAACAATAATTTCAAACTAAACAGGAGATAAGAATTTTTTTTCTTGAATTTTCTAGCGTACTTGATTTTGTATCTTGCTCGTAATACATGATTTTAACTTCAATTTTTTCTTTTTTTTTTTTTTTTTGAAAACTTAATTTGAATATTAAAGACCGATATTTTTTCGCTTTAAAACATTTGCGAACAATAACGTTTATCTTTCAGTTTTATCGATTTGTCTCTCTTTAGCCGAAACGAATTTCAAGGTTCTCAATTCGATATCGAAACTTTCCGAGGTCTGATAGAGGCGGCAACAGTTTCGACATACATTTTGTAGAATATGGTTTCGATATGTGTTGAATAATTTTTTTTTCTTCGTTCAAATTCTCTCTTCGAGTTTGATAGTTGCTTAGAGAAAGTAAAGAGCACGTTCGACATATCTGTCGAAATTACACACGCACTCGAGCACTTTGCACATATTCCAGATATGATATAAATAGGTTAGATATAAGAGCGGATTCGGAGACCTGTTTTACACGTATGGATGCTGTATTGTGCTTAAGAAACCTGTAATCATTTTCTAATAGTAAAACCAAAAATAGCAAGTGCGTTTGAATTTATTACGTCCTGAAGATAAATGAATTTGTATCTCATCTATAAAACTGTGTTTTTCTTTTAATGATTATTTCATTTTAATTATGAATTAACATAATTGAATCATTATATATAAGCATATATTTGTCACGTTTTATACCTTGATGATCTATAATTACTACTACTTAGTCATCTGTTGTTTATTACCTGTTATTTATCACAAATAAGTAAAAATTTTAATATATTGCGAGAACACACAACATATCATATAAACATATACGTATTATCGTCTCAATCGTCTTTAAGCGCGAGAGGATGTTGCCACCTAGTTTTTGATTATGATTCATTTTTTATTTTTAACAGTTAATTGCGTATATCATCAGGTGCGTGTGCGACCTCTGTCTCCTTGAGCTTTCTTTTTATTTCGTCACTATACACTCTTGCAATTCGATACATTAGGGACAACTCGTTCGTCCCGACTTTTATTCCTCAGCGCCGAAGTTCACGATCGACTTTCACTCGATCATAGTGTGCGTCGTCGCCTTGACTGATTTATTGTAATTCACTATTACTAAGTAGCTAAAAGCTAAAGTCAAATCTAGACGTTTATTGGAATCTTGAATGTGAAATCTCGTCAAAATCTTGAAATCTTAAACGATGAACATAAAATATTCATTTAATAATAAAATATTATTAATTAGTAACAAACATATTAAATAATATAATACTAAACGCGCCACTTATTTGAATAATATGTATGTATATATGTAAAACCATGTTGACAATAATTACATCAACCAACAAAGTGGCGCGAATTAATTGCGACAAAGTTTAATCAAGTAATTGAATGATGTCTCTCATTTTTTGTGTACTCATCGTTTTGTGCATTAACATTGATTCTCAACTGAATTGAAAACAAAATCGTCGCCGGTGTACAAAATCGGCTTATTCAAACGATTAATACTCTTCCGCTCGATGAGTGCTGCTTTTTTTTTTTTTTATATTCAACGATTCAACGCTTCCGTGAATTATGTATTAGCGCTTATAATAAGCATTTTTAATTAAAGTGACACGTCCGCGCATTTTTAGACACGGAGACACAGTCAATATTAATATTTAAATTAATAAAATTCAATTGAAGAAGATTTTTATCCAAACAACGAGAAAACAAAAGATCTCAATATAAAAAATTATAATAATCTCTCTCACTTCAATATTATGTTATAAATAATCAATTGTTTTTTTTTTTTAAGAAAACGAATCACACGGAAGAGTGCGAAATCGCGGTGATTACGCCAAGCGCGGTCCAGTTGACGGTATCCTGTTTATGAGAGTTTTATATTACATATAGAAAAACAAAATGAACAAGATACCGTACAGAACGCGTAATCACCGCACATAATCACCGCGATTCCACCCTTCCGTGTCATTCGTTTTCTTAAAAAAAAAATTGATTATTTATTTGAATATTTTATTGAATAATAATATTATATTACTTATAATATTATATCTATAATATTATATTACTTATAATATTATATCTATAATATTATATTACTTATAATATTATATCTATAATATTATATTAAAGTGAAATCTCTCTCTTTCTCTCTCTCTCTCTCTCTCTCTCTCTCTCTCTCGTATATCGAGATATACGAAAGAGAGAGAACCAAAACATATTAGATCAGTTACTACGACGCGGTATTGCACAACTCTCATTGCGACCGTTATGTCACCGTTACTCTCACGCAAGGAGCAAAATAATTTGCGCGACGCGTGTACGGAACAGGTACGATTTTGACAAATTACGTTTCTCTTACCAGCGCGCGGTGGCGCGCGCTATTTATTCTCTTTCGGATCGTGATTCTTCAATGAGTTCGCAATTTCTTCCTTTCGACTTGATGACACGATTCGTTTTAGACGTCACCCGTGAATCAATTGCGTTTTATGATAATGTTACATACACATATGATTATGTTAAAAACATAATTTGAAATTCACAGTAAGTGGTTTCTGTGTCAACAGACTGAAGAGATTCGGATAAAGAGACCCGACGGCACTTTAATTAAAAATACTTATTATCGGCGCTAATACATAATTCACAGAAGCGTTGAATCGTTGAATATAAAAAAAAAGTTAATTTCACGTTAATTTCAAAAACCTATGCGTCAAGACGAAAATGCCGTATATGTTCTTTCCTTCCTCTCGCGAGTTCAAATGGAGTTTTCGTTGCAAAAAAAAAAAAAAAAGAAAAACAACAATAGTGACGCGCGAGGAACGTTGTTGTTCTGTTTAATGCATTATTCACATGAGGGAAGCGAAAATGCGACATCGACAAAAAATAAACAACTAAATACTATCGGAGAGAGAAGTAACTTGATAATGACGCGCACGAAGCGATATATATGTTCTGTCTCGTTTCAAAGCGAATCCGAGTTTGTTTTGATTGTCTTTGAAAACGCGATGAAAAATATAGTAGAACACAAATACAAGCGAATAAAAGGTCATAAGGTTACAAAAGGTCATAAGGAAATATTCTCGTAGTTTCGTTTTATTATTCAATTCATTAATCTTAAAGTCTGTTTAACTTCAGATTTTAAAAATAATAGTCTGTGATATTTTGGTTCCATTCGAATTTGCATAAGTTACAAATAAAAAAAACCAAAATTTGCTTAATTAACGAGAAGATTAGTAAAACATAGTCAGGAAGAAAAATGTGTCTAGTGAACTTTTCGTTTCGCCAACTCATTATTAATGAAACAACTCAACAGACTCAGCAAATTTTTCTTACTTTATTACATAACAAACTTTTTTTCTGTGTAATATATTTGGTGTTCGGGAATAACCGTATATCACCGCTCATGGACAAATAAATATATCGAGTCAACAGGTTTTTTTGCGAGATTCGCGAAATTTAACGAATGTTAATAAAAATTCGCAAAAATACTAATTCGCGTGCGTCCTGCGCATACTGACATTTATGAATGTAATCGAAGAACAGGCGTGAAGCAAAGCGCCAAAATTGATGGACTTCGAGAAATCTTTGTTTGGATTACAACGTTGACTTCAACTCTGACACAGAAATTGATGCAATTATTCCTCGAACAAAAACGATTGTGTCATTGTTTTTTTTTTTTTTTTTTTCTGTAAATTGATGTTTCTTTTCTCGCTTTCGTCACACGCTCGACCGTTTTTGTTTTGTTGAAATAAAAAAAATTTTTTTTTGACACGTCAATTCGTGCAACAATATCAAAAAAAAAATAAATTAAAATATTACGACGTTTGTTACGCATGAACACAACGCGCGTCGTAATAAATACATTTCACACGTGATAACGTTAATTGTGTTCATGCGTAACAAACATTATTGATCATCATTGATGTGTCATGTGACGAACAAAACGTGCATTATCTTGTGCTTAAATGATTTTACAATGTGCGCGAATCGAAAAGAACACCTAAAAACACTTAAGACAACTCGACAAATATCGGTCTTTCCGGCCGATAAGATATATATGAGATATTGGCATATTGGGTACATAACGCGCAAATGTGTTGTCGCAAAAGAGAAATAAAGAGATATCTCTGTGTATGTCAGAGAGATACAGAGGTGAGGTCTTGTTCAAACGTTCAACATCCCGCGCACGCGGGAGATTCGAGGAAAACGAGACGTCCTTCGAGAGAATATTTGCTCTTCTTCATCTTCTCTCACTAAGGAGATGAGTTATATGGAAGTATTATCTCTCCTTTATTCCCAAACAGAACGGCGTTCGTCGCGTGAAAAATGACACACGCAATCGTTTCGTCGCTTGGTTTCTTTGTGTCGCGATATTTTTTTTTTTCGGCCAGTTGACGCGCATCCAAAAATAACGCTGATTTATTATATTTACATAAAAAAGTCGCCGAGATAAACGAACAATAATTTTTTCTTGTTGCGTTGAGACGACATTTATTTTTATTACTTTTTATTCTCATATATTATTGCATTTGTGAAACATATATCCTTGTTATAGCCGAATCACATGCGTTGCTGCTACGTTCCTTGAGTCTGAGAAATTCATTTAAATATCCGACGAGTGTGATTTGAGTTTTTGTCGCGCATTCGTATCACGTAAACTGTAATTAACTCTGTAATATTTACAACCACTTCTTCTGACGCCAAAACACTGGGAGCATTAAGCAAAAACTAACAACTATTAATAAAAGGAGGAAAATAAGAGAAGAAAACTCGCGCTTTTTTCGCGACAATCGATTTGGCGAATAATTAAATTTAACAAACATTTGCGAACACGAATACAAATTACGTATACTAGACAAACCGACTTCTAACATACTGCAACTGATTTGTTTTTGCAGGTCTGACGTCGAAGAAGAAAAATGGTGGAAGTGCTCTTGGATCGTATCGACGGAGACGTCATTCCGAATCAGGAGGTGACTGTCGCCGAGGACAATTGCATACCGGAATGCACGACGAAAGAAAACAATTTGTCGGTTACCGAGAATTTGACGCCGATTCAGGAGTTCTATCACGGCCAGAGCGTCTTCCTCACCGGCGGCACCGGCTTCATGGGCAAGCTGCTGATCGAGAAGCTACTCAGAATGTGTCCCGGAATAGGTTCTATCTATTTGCTCATGCGTGCGAAGAAAGGCAAGGACGTGCACCAGCGCACCGAGGAGATCTTCGACGATGTGGTGAGTTGTTTCAGAATTTGCATTTAAAGATTTTCTCGTTTTTACTGTGATGCGACTGTAAATATTTGAGCCGCGTTCTCACAATCGATCTGAAAAAACCCTTGTATAAACCTTTAAACATCCTTCATTTATTAAATTTTCATTTAATGATTTCAAGAGAAGATATAATTACGTTTTTATTATTTAGATTGTACGCTTCTTATTTCTTCCAGAAATGTTTTTTTATATAATGACTTCCTCTGGGGGAGGGAGAGGGGAACAAGTTGATACGTTAGAGCGGATCCAATGAATATTTTGTATGAAATGGGCTCGTATATTGTACACATATGCAATTATACATGTATTAATTGTAATTTGAATTTAGAAAGCGATTAATTTTTTTATTGCTCACTTTCAATTAATTTCAAGCAAAATTGTTTTATTTACGTAAACACGTATAACTAAATTACAATTACGTTATATGATACGTATAATTAAATAAAACATTTTGAGTGATAAGAAATAAGTTATCAACAATCCAATTAATATATTTTACATGAGTATCAATCAACTCATGGAGCAATATCAACTTGCCCCGGAACAGTAAAGTAAATTGATTACATTTTGCATTCACTTAGAAAACATTTTATGTATTTTTCTAAATCTTTATTTAGAAATATGTAAAGAGGAAGAATCAAAGTGTTTTTTTTTATTAAATAATTAGCGTAAATAAAAATTGTACAAATCAAAAATTAAAAAAGTGTAATCAACTTACCCCCAATCTATTCTATATGTAAAATAATAAAATGATTGAATTAATATTGCAATATTCTGAATATTATTGAAAATATAATAATAATAATATAATGAAGACGGAGAGAAAAAGAGTTAATGTGATGTTTGTTAAGTGGACGTGTGCTTCCACGAGTGCGTGTTCTGTACAGATGTGTATGTACATACGTCATCAATGAACTCCGAGTCTGCTGACGTCAACGTTCCATTTCTTGCACACACATAACAAGAATTTATTATTACATTACAATAAAAATATTTCATATAAATATGTAATAAATTGAAATTTTAATAAATTTTCTATTTAGACATCTTGTTCTACTATTTAAAAACAAAATAAAAAAACATATTATGACGATAACGATTGCAATATTGAAGTGGATATCAATTTCTTCTTCTGCTCAGCTATTTGAAAAGCTCAAGAAGAAGCATCCGAAATTTCGGCATCAAATCGTTGCCGTCGCGGGAGACTGCAGTCAACCGTATCTCGGCATGTCCCCGCAGGATCGGGCCACCATCATCCGCGAAGTCACGATTGTATTTCACGTGGCGGCCACTGTCAGATTCGACGAGAAGTTGAAATTGGCGGTCCCGATTAACGTCCGAAGCACAAAAGACGTTTTTGACTTGTGCCGAGAAATTCCAAATCTGAAGGTACAATCAGAGCTACCATGAAAAATCATTTGCGTGACATTTGAGTGACATTTTATCGCTCTTTTTAGCAAAAGTTCAAATAATTGAGTTAAAATATTGAGTTAAATATTGAGTTTTTTTGTTATACCAGCATAAAAAAAAAAAAAAATAGCAATAAGTTTCTCGCATCTTTGACTCCAAAACATAGTTTATATTTTATTCATTTTTTTTTAATTGAATACAAAATGTAATTTTTACTACGTTTTGTTTACTACTCTTGTTTCTTGCATAATCCTCTTAGTCTTTTGTGCACGTATCGACCGCATATGCAAATTGCCCGCAAAGTGTGATTGAGGAAAAGTTTTACGATCCGCCAATGGATTACGACAAACTGATCGCGCTGATGGAATGCGTGGATGACAAGTTGGCAGAAGACATTACCTCAAAGTACGTTGAATTTGCCTTTGAATGTGCACTCGGAGTTAAAAAAACAAAAAAAAAAATAACTAAAAGAAAAAAAAAATAAACTAAAAGAAAAAACGGAAAACGCCGAGATAATGTTATTCGTTTTGCAGTTTGTTAGGAAAATGGCCAAACACTTACGCCTACACAAAGGCAGTCGCTGAGAACGTGATACGTAAAGAAGCTGGCGACATGCCGGTCGGCATTTTCCGTCCGGCCATTGGTGAGCATTAACCAACTTATTTCCATATTATAATCGGAAACCGCAGAGAACAGAAGATGTTTTTAGATTATGACAATAGCAAAATAAAATTATTCTATATTAACCGGAGGAAAACCGCAGTAATAGAAAATATTTCAAATTATTAAAAGCAATTAAACTATTTTTAGAACAATATTAACACTTGATTCGCGTTATCAGTTCTTTCTCGTATAAAAAGAAAAATAGTTTCAAATATTAGTTTAATAACATCGAAAATAACTGTGGCGCCAATGCACTTTAATAAGAACACTTTTCGTAACGCATTTACGTAATGATCTTCTACTTATGTCGCACAAGAGAGTGTGTGGTTAACACGCACGAAACACCATCAGAGTAAAATAGCTTGTAATATTTTAACATTCAGTAATCTCAACGTATCGGGAACCTATAAAAGGTTGGATCGACAATCTGTACGGTCCAACGGGAGTTGCTGCGGGTGCCGGTACAGGATTGCTGCGATCAATCCATTGCGACGGCTCAACACAAGCAAATGTGGTACCTGCCGATTTAACGGTCAACGCTCTAATTGCGTGCGCGTGGGACGTGGCAAACTTCCGAAGGTATCGTCGCTGTTCATTTCCCTTCTACAAATTTGGCATCGCGAATAAACATACAGCACGATACGTCGTACGATTTTTAATTGCGATCCTCGAGAACGTTACGACTCCCTCATCACTTCAATGATGAATATATATTTATATTTATACACACAAATGCTAATACTTTTTTTAATCGTGATATATCATTTGTATTCATGAACAACGAAGTAAAACTTTGCAAAAAAAATAATGATAAAAAATTATTTTTATTACAAACGCGGTTACAAAAGTACAGACAATAAAATTGTAAAAATCTCATCGTCATTGTTTAAGATTAAACAACAATGCCACATGCGATGAAGTTCCGATTTACAACTACGTGTCCAAAGACAATCCGATTACTTACGACGAGCTTAAGGACAAGTCCTCGGCACATGGCCTCCGAATTCCGCCCTTAAAAGCGGTATGGTATTACAGCTTCAGAAACACCAAGCACAAAGTAGTTCATCTCTTCTTCGTGTACTTCTTCCACCTGTTACCGGCTTTGTTGATCGACACCGCGACCGTCTGCGTCGGAAGACAACCGAGGTATTAAAAAAAAAAAAACATTACGTTATAAAACACTATGCGCTATATAATCTTTCTTTTAGAAAAGCAGCTCTCTTCTCTTGTAAATATATTTTCGAGAAAAAAGTTTTTTCATATATGAACAGATTTTACATATAATTACATTTAAATATGTGAGAGAATTGTTTTTAAAAAAATTTCTCTTAAATAATTACATGTAATTATTTGTAACGCGAAAATTTGTGTTCATATATACATATACGCGGGGAACACTTTTTTCTCTTCGATACAAAAGTAAAAAATTTATTCAAAATGCGCGGATTAACTGTTTTTGTTTCAGATTGCTTAAGGTGTACAAGAAGGTGCACAAATTCATGAACGTGCTGTCTTACTTCTCCACGCAAGAGTGGAAGTTCACCAACGAGCGAATGAACGCGATAATAGACAAAATGACGCCGCAGGATCGCGAGAAGTTCAATTGCGATATAAAATCCGTCGATTGGGATCCTTATTTCGAGGGATATATTCGCGGAATAAGAGTATTTCTGATCAAAGATCCGTTGGACACGCTGCCGCAAGCACGCGCGAAATGGCAAAAGTACGAGAGAGACTTTTAACGTGATCTACAAATTTTATTTTTCTTTAACTCTGTTGTATTTGTAAATAATTAAAAAAAAAAAACAAAACATATCGCAATATATATAAAATGTCTTGTGTGCAGATTGTACTGGTGTCATCAGGTAGTAAAACTCATACTGGCCTACGGATTCCTGAGGTTTTCCTGGATGGTCCTGTTGTTGTTCTTCAACGATTTTAACTTCATGAGAGAAATGATGGGATTTCTGTGACAAAAATGCTCGCTAAAATTTCGTCTCGAAAGTGCAATAATACGGGGAAATAAAAAAAACGAGGAGATGTTTTAACGTTTTATTGTTAATAAAAAGAGAAAGAAACGCGAACTCTTGGATTCCGTGAAGATGCTTTGAAGTACTTTGAAGAGTTTCTCTCATAATGTTGTTATTGAGAAAACGAAATTCCATAAAGGACGGCAGAATCCAACCAAACGGAATTGCTTTGTGTACAAAAAAAAAAAAAAAAAAAGAAACGGAATATATTACGTAGCAATGGAACATGTAGGAACAGTTTGACGATGTGATGCGAAAAAGATTTCGATTAGATTAGTTTCAGCCTTGGCAGTCTCTTCTCGAGTGTAAGTAAACATTACACCTTGTCAAGGTAGATTTTGCAGAATGTTACATTTGTTTGTATGTGTATTAGCGAGGAGGAGTTTTTGCATCACCTTTAATGCGTGCGCGAAATGTTTATATATACGCTCGGTGTTGTGCTATATTAAGTTTAGTCTGTTGCGGGGATGATCAATCACAATAGATAATTATATACAGACGTTGAGAGAAATGCAAAATAATTTGTATTTGTAATCTATTTTTTTTCTCACGTATGTATGTGCTTTCTAAATTATTTATTTTATCTGCTTTTTTATATTTATGTAAATTTTATAATTATACGTACTCTGTGTGACGAGAAAATAAAATTATAAACGTCTTAAAAAAAAATTAAAATCTCGAAAAGGTAAAAAATATTAGATTTTTTTTCCTTACTTTAGCAAAATAAATTTTTTTAAAAAAGTGCAATAATTAAAATTAAAAAAAATGACATATGTAGATAAGAAGTTGAAGTGTGTAATAATTACAAATGATAATTATATAATATTTATCTGTTGATCCAAGTGGAAGTGGTTAATTAAGTAAAATTCTTGGAAACTGAATTCACTTTTTCAGCAAAACAAAAGTGATTCGATGAGCAAATATTTTTATGCAATCTGTGTTTGACATTGCTTATACGTTTACTGTTCACGAATCAACATATCATGTAATGCGCAACGACGGAGACATGAAATACCGATAACGAGCATGTATTCTGTGAGAAGAAGCATGCAGAATCATATTTTTTGTTACTATTACATGCACTTAGATACGCGCGAAATATAAGCGAACTAAAAAAGGGCTCTCAACATTGAGAGAAAGCTTATTTTATTGACAAATTACAACATGGAAATGACGTTATACATACGGTGTAACAGATATAAGTAATAAAATGCGTGTAAAAATTATTATCACATCAAAATGTGTAATAGTTTATACTTATAAATAAGCGACACAATATTATTTAAATGAATGCAAAAAACCGCATTATAAAGTAGTTATTACACACACATACACAAGCTTATAAATAAAATAATGATAATAAAGACGCAATCTTTGAAGAAAATTCATACAATTAAATTTCTTTATCGAATTAATTAAATCTTATTTTTTCTTTTCCTTCTTCATGTTAAGATATCAGATTTTTTAATGAAAACTAATCTTTTTTATTTTACTAATTTGATAATATTAATATTTTATTTTTCTTTTGTTAAATGTATAATTTTTTTTTTCAAGATAAAATGTACATTGCGCGTATAGTTTTCTTTTAAAATCAAAATGAAAAAAAAAAAAAAAGCTGGCCCATGGGGGGATCGAACCCACGACCTTCGCGTTATTAGCACGACGCTCTAACCAACTGAGCTAATGGGCCACGTTAACTCCTTGTGTTAACAAGAGTTTTCAGGTAGAATGTCTTGCTACTTTTAGAAAATAAATTTATATATACCATATGTAATAGTTGTAAATATTATAAATTACTTAAACACTTATCTGGTTATCAATATTACATATCATATAGACATATTTTATCTTTTAAAGTTTTTTACAAATCTATTTATATAAATTTTGCAAAATAAATATTATTATATACAACATATATATATATTTTTTTATGAGTAGAACATGTTTATTTTTTGCCAATTTTTCAAAACGTGTTTCTCTGAAATGTGATACATCAAAATTGATAAGTAAAAAAATAGCACAGCTGTCAGAGTTTTGTGTGTCTGTTAAGACAACAGACCGTGTTGTAATCATCTTATGACACAGAAAGAATGCTGATTTTGCACTGTCAATGTTTGCGACATCACTGATGTGCTTATATTATGACTTATGTTTGTAGCATACAAAGTAGAAAATCATTTAATCGATATAAGAGTCTATTTAGTTAGTGTGTACATGTAAAACTCTCTTTTTTATTACACAAAATAATAAAATAATCTATATACATATGTTTTTTTTCAATAACAATTTACGTAAGTGTTTTGTAAACTATGGATTTTTTCTAGGAAACTTTTTTTTATTTTTTTGTGTTCTAAATTAACATCTTTATATTTTACAATATTATATAAAAATCTGACACACACACACAAGAAATAAATTTATTCTTATCTATTCTGCACATAAATTTGTTCACATATTTTATTAAAACAAAATAGCAAACACACAAGAATAAAAGGATGATCAAGTAAATAATGTGTTTGAATATTTGACGGCGTCAATCTAAACGTCGCTTCTATCGCGACTAATCGCGACTGCGCAGAAGGAAGCAGAAGGTTGTGACAAAACTCAGTCGGAGTTGATTGATTTTTGTCCGATCGTTTTCTCGAGTGTGTTGAAAACTTAATTTGTTTCTTGGAAAGAAACAAATTCGAAATCAGAAATGGGACTTACTGGCACGCTTTATCGTCTTGTTTTTAAACGTTCGTCCACGTTTGCAGTCGCCGTCTTAGCTTCTGCCTTTTTCTTCGAAAGATCATTCGATATGGCCTCCGAAAAAATTTTTGACACTATAAACAAAGGGGTGAGTGTTTTTTCTTTACATCATGTGTCTTTTCTTTGATTTTCGCGTGCGATAATTACAGTAATTGCGTTCCTCAGTGTTCCTGAATGAGGTTATAGCAAATTAAAGTGAGGTTAGATCAGCGCACGCGTAATTAATTTGTTACAATAGTCAGAGACGTGACGTAACATTTTGCGATAATTGACAAAAAATATTAGATATTCCATAAAGAATTGTGTGTGTTTCGATATATTAACGGAACATACGGTTTTGCGCCGCAAAGAAATATGACGCGATTGATAATTTTACAGGACAATTATAAGTAAAATACAAGAGGTACTGTGTGTGATTGCATAACATTTATGTGTCTTTCTTTCAGAAACAATGGAAGGATATAAAGCACAAGTACGAATGAGACGTTTTAGAGACGATGAAATTAGATCATTATGATTAAGTGGCTTACTCTCACATCATGTAAATAAACAACAAATTATACTGTAATTGATACCGATGAGTTTGTCACACCCTTACAGTGGTTTTATGTATTTATTTATATACCGTGTATGTGTCTCTTGTGATGTGAATATCAGTACACATTTATTTTTATTTCAAATTTGTCATTTATTCAAGTATAAAAGCACAAACACTCCTGCAACTTCAATACAAAAAAAAAAAAATATCAAGAGACGTCGAGTCTTGTGCCAAGTTTACACGTGTAACAAAAGTAATATATATATATATATATACACATATATATGTATACGTCACAAGAAAATGATTATATACATAAATGATAATATCTCGCAGGCACTTTCAGTATAAAAGTAAAAAGACCTGTGTCTTAGTGTATCACTCTTAATTTTTAAGTACTTGCATTAGGACCAAGAAAACGACCAACAAAGAGAGTCTCAGTCGTTAAAACGTCAATAATAGCGAAGATAAACGGTCTGTTTGCTATGAATGTTGGAATTGTTTCACCCATGAGAGGTACAATAACAAATTCTGCAATCAAATGGATATTAGCGGACAACAATTTACGAGATGCGTCGAATAATGCATGAGTTACGTCAACAATTACCTGTCACGGCGGCGGCGACGGTTCCCTCCTCGTCAACTTCTATTTTAGCACTTTGGAGTATCTCTCCTATTCGTAGATAATTGTTGTGTCCAATTCCCGTGAAGTTCGCTGTTGTGCCAAAAATGTCTTGTATACCCATCTAGAACAGAAGAATTTTATGCACTTTTATATCCATTTTTTTTTAATATAAAATTCATACTTTTTACTCTTGCTATATATATATGTGTGTACTGTTGAAACAAATAAAATCACAGGTAATAGATCTATTCTTACACGCGTCAACGGTGAATGCAAGTTCAATTTGCTCTCGATGCTGAATCGCGGAATAGAGAGCACCAGATCGGTCTCGTTCAGACTAGCCAGCAGCATTCTCATCGGCACGTACGACAGATCTTTGGACAAAACCTGGAGGTACGGATCGCTCTGATAGTGATACGGAAGAAAGACTAGCATGGACGTCCTGCCGTTCTGAAATATACAATTTGAGTCCAAGTGTTTCTTGCACGATATACATATTTCAATTTCATAAATTACAAGAAGATGATGGCTCCGCCAAGAAAACATATTGAAAATTGAGAATTTTCAGAAGAAGTTTTTCTATCGGCTTGTCAATGAAGCAGGAATTGAATCTTACCGAGTACGGAATTTCGACCACTTCGGCGTCGAGCGCGGCTACGTAACCGTACCGATACTTCGCAATATTTTGCATCATAGGAATGTTTTGACAGCTATTATCGGGCACTTGGAAACATCCAACGCGCGTTGCGCCTCTGTCAAAGGACTTCAACCATCGTCCTTTGAAATACAAAGCTGAAGTCAGCAGCATCTGAACGTTGGCGTCGAGAATACCTGTACAACGTTAAACGTTGATAAGAGACACTTTTTTAAAGGTAAAGGAAGAAGAGAAATTTCTAAATTAGAACAAAATAACAAACCTATACACACCAATTCGATTACATAAAAAAAACACTCTTCCTCTACCAAAAAAAAAAAAAAAAAAATAAGAAACAAAGTCTGTTTAAATACCAGGCTGAACGATCGACTTGATGTTATTCCGCGTTCTTTCGCGAACCCAGGCGTTGATCGCGTTCGCCGCATCGTTTGCATTTCCGAAATTCATTTGCTGAATATCGGTCCCGTAATTGTTGCGCAGAGAGTTCAAGTAAGAACTGGACGCCGCGAGCGTCGGATTGATCCACAAGCGAGTGGCCACGTCGATTTCCGTTCCATTTTCGTAACTCTGGAAAAAAAAAAAAAAACGAGAAATATGAGAAGGCAACATATCGAAAAATTATGTTTTCGAGATAAATTGAATATTAAAAAAATAAATTCCGTTTACGTACTTTTAACGGTGCGGACGTGCGTCTCACTATTTTTCGAATCGAGTATTCGTCCGGTGGCAATCTCAAAGCTGCGAGTAGCTCCTGGCGCGTTCGACCGGCCGTGCCCTCAATCAGACTCGCAAGGGCGATTTTCGCGCTGGCCGGTGACAATATCACGTTACCTCCGACTTCCTCGTTCACTCTCTGTGATTGTTATTTTAAAACAAAACAATGTAAGATACAATTATTCTTAAAAATGTTAAATTTATTTCTGTTACAAAAACAACGTAAACTGTTCTTACGTTCTTACCGTTGTTTTAAAACTGTTTTTACCTGCAGAAGTTCAGTGTTGAAGAAGGAATATCGATCCTCGGCGATGGTTGTAACTAAAATGAAGAGTAATGCATCGCGTTAGTTGCAAATTTGTTGCAAGAACAAGATATATATATATATATATATACATTAATATATTGATCTATGTTACATTCATTTTATCGCAAGACAGCGCACATTCGTGTATAATTCTACCAAATTGTTCGAAAATTACAGAAGATAGAAGTTATACGCGAGTCGGTACGATGAATCTTAAAAATTTTCATTTAAAAAACGTACACGCATTTGGAAGAATCCGATATTTGAGTAGAAGCCGCCGATCAATCGTGCGGTAATATATCCGTCATTGTTATTCGAAGTAACGCGTCAATAATAAAGTCGTAATGAAATTAATTTTCGCGCAATGAAAAAGAATTTTCTTCGTTTTTTTTTTTTTTATCGGGCGATCGATCGTAGAGGATTTACAACAAACGAATGTAACAGAGAGCGGAGTTAAAATTGCACGGAACGACAGATGCCGGCGTTATCGGGCAAGTCAATCGTGAGACTCGTCAAACAAGTTTAACGCATATGTACATACATATCGTTTTAGCGCTCGCGAGCGATGACGTAATCCGCAAAAAACGCGCTCCGATAATTATTGATTTTGATTAATGACGCGGAGGAGAAGCGCGCGGGCAAGAGAGGTCTCTCCCTTGTTGCACCGTCCAGTGGTTCAGTCTTCTTTCTGCTCCGCACGTACGAGATAAGTCGTCAAATAAAGCGGCACGAAAATCAATGACAGTTTCGAAGATGATTTATTGCGACGAGAGAAAATTACGTAAAGAGTCTCGAGAATCGTCAGACGTTGAAACGATCCTGCGATAAGGATTCGCGCAATCATGTGACGATAATATTATGAAAAAAAAAAAAGTGCAGACGCGCGTGTACACGCAATTGTTTAAAGAATGTTGAGAGAGACAATTGTAAAAAAAAAAAAAACAAAAAAAATCTCTTCGTCCTTTCAGTGAACGATATACCTGCGCAAACACAGCAGAGGATCCACAGCGTCGATGACCACATTTTGAGCGATTTTGGAATTTGGACGCGCGCAGTTATGGAAAAGTAGCACACGATACGCGTATTTCGCGTGACTCCCGAGTCGCGAATGAAATATACACACATGCACACACGCACGCACGCACGCACGCACACACACACACACACGGAGATAACGGAAACACAGACGCTATATAGTCAAACTTCCGGCTAGGAGTCAATCCCCACTTGGTCAACTCTTGCGAACTCCTTGCTTCTTCATTACCTCACCTTGGTGTGTGCGTGCACACTCTGATGCTGCATCGCGCGCGTCGAAAATGTTTATATACACGCGGGAGAAATTCGCGCGCGATAATTTACCGCGATCGCGGAAGGATGACACAACTTCAGACGAGGTAAAATGAAAAAAAAAAAAAAAAAAAAAACACAAAAACAGGTCTCTCGTGAGTGGACTTTTTTTTAGACACTGATGCAACACTCAAGGCAAGTGTTTCTGCGCTGCGAGCGTTAACGAGTTTTTGACGAAGGAAACTATTGTTCTTGAAAGCATAACAAGAGAGAACTGCAGAAACGCGAAGCAGCGGAGAAATGAATGAGCGGAGATAATTTTTTCCTCGAAATCAGTTTAGTGGGAGAAGACAATTCTCTTTTATTTGACATTTCGGAACAGAACGCGCAGAAGAGAAGGAATTGACAGACGAGAGTGAAGAAGAGAGGAGGGAAGGGAGAAAAAAAAACTGAATCTCTAAACATCCAGAACAGATCTGATGAGTGTGCAGCAAAATCAGTCGATTTTCGTAAAAATTTATCAACGTCATTCGCTGATGTATAAACTTATATATTCTCTCTCTTTTTTTTTATTCAAAAAATAATAAATATTTTAAACTAAAAATAATAAATATTATTTAATAATTAAAATTAAACAATAATAAATATTTAAAATTGAAAATATATTTATACGATAGTTAAAATGACATAGCAAAGCAGTAATTAAAATAAAATTAAAATATTGAAATTACTGAGATTATTGCGGTATTACTTTTTTTTTTTCGCGAAAACGCGATAAAATAAAAGGAGGGGCTCAATAAACACGAGCCAAGTGAAGATAGTAGGAGCAGGTCTGCCTTGGGATTTCCATCATCTGCAGTTCCGTCATTGGAACGTCCCACTATAGAACTCGTTTGTGCAACATCCACACTCGCGTTTATAACACAAAGACAAAAGATGTGACTCTGTCTTAGAACGTAAGCAAAATTTATTCGCGATAATGCGTAGTCGATATTTATATATGGATGCGGAGCAAATAACATTATGATTACAGCAGTGACGCTAGCGGCTAGTGCCGCTAACATGTGCGTAATGATAATTTTTCTTTATTTATCGCAAGTAACGTGATAGGATAAGTAACGTGATAAGAGCTCACAAAAGGAGAATCACACGCAAGCATTTCGTTGTGGCGTATCTAATAATTGGTTTGGCACAAGTTTGTATTTGGCAGAATTTTAGTTTGTCTCTTTGGTACATTGGCATTTGATAAATAAAATTATACCGTGCGAATAGATATGTAACTGAATATTTGTGTGCGTGATCCACACACACAGACTCGCAACACCCTTGCAAACGCAATATCTTACAAAGAAATAATATATTGTGTATAAAAAATACGCGATTGCAATATAACATAAATTATATATTACAGAATATATTATTATATAAAAATACTATATGTGTAAAATTATCTCAAACATGATTTTTTATGGAAGAAAAATACCGTGCCCTAAACGTCGACAACAACAACGGTTCCGAGAAAAACCGAGCAGAAGTACAGAATCTTTTTTTTTTCTTATTTCCAGAACGAAAAACAATACTGTTACGTAATCCATTGAATCTAATTTGTTAAACAAGGAAATAGGATTTAACAGAGAATTTAAATTGATTACGTCTCTCTTGTGACCACATCTATTAACTACAAATTATATCCACTCTATACAGTGAGTGGATCTATACAGAGTTAACATGCAATATGTTAATAGCACAGCGTACGTATTAATAAAACTATACACAGAAATACAAATACTCCTTTCACACAGTAAACTCCATTAACGTGTATATACACGGTGTTTTATCCAATTTTTCAGTTTGCTTTTGGACGACACGAGTTACTTTATTTTCAAAAAACGTTTTCGAAAGCAAGAAGAGAGAAACTCTGTCGAACAACCGCGTTGTTTCTTCCCTTTCTTCTCTCATTTTTTTTTTTTTTTAGTTAGAGTCTCTCTAAAACTTGAGATAAAACATCTTGTATGTATAATTCCACATTAGACAGTTAACCCCTTGGGTACATTTGACGTCTGAGACACGTCATTCACTTTTTTCACTTTTTTGCTTTTACATACTACTCCAAGCAACCAAAAATTATATCCGTTCCACATGCAAATATTTTCTCAAATAAATCCGTACCCAAGGGGTTAATACCATTAGACAAGAAACTTTAATTCTGTACCTTCTCTAAATCTTTGGTTACGGTTGGTGCAGCAAGAAAATAAGATATTTTACGCGTAAGTTTTTTTTTTTAATGATAAAATAAGTTAGTCACATTGTGTGATTACGCTACTAAAGCTACTATCACCGAAGAAGAAATCCATTTCCCCCAGTTATCAAGTTACAGCCTTACAATTCATTTACCGGGAATGTTCGGTGTATCCAGATTAAGTCGTGACGGGAATTCCGGCTGCGCTTGCGTGTAACATTTCTCCGCAACTCCGGACGTGTTCAAGGGATTTCGCACCTTTCCTATGTAAAGAATGGTGCCGGTGGTCTCATCCTCGATGTAGAACACGAACGGATGATTCGCATGGAACACGCTGTCTTCTATCTTGTTTCCAATCTGTACCTCTGTATTAAAAAACAAAACAAAAATATATATGTATAATAATTTTTTTTTGTTTCAATTTTAAACTTTTTATTTTAAACTTTTAATTTATTAGAAACACGCACCTGTGGCAGCGTACGCAATTGTCCCGTTCTCGCTCACTTCTATTCCCGTCTTGTGCACTATGTCGGACACCTGCAGATGTCTCGAAGCTCGTCTTGTTCTCGCTATACCCGTCAGCAGCGCGGTGTCGTCGAAGATATCGTGAATACCGAGCTGTGTGAATACGAAAAACAATTTATCATTTTTGCGTTAGCAAACGCGTATCGCCAAAACTGGCTGTGACTGGCAAAAATTTAGGAATGCACGAACGATTGCAGATTTAGCAAGAAACAAATTACAATTAAATCGCTAATGTTTTTTACTTTTATACGCTTTGCTCTCCATTTACTCTCTCGAACGCGTTTATAATCTTGCAATCGAATATTTTTTTCTTCGGCAAATTTTTTTCTATGCTGAACGGAGAAAGTTACCTCGCGCAGAGTACTCTCCAAGTGGCTCGTGAACTCGAACTTGAATTTCGGTATCAACACGTCGAAAGGCAATTCCTGCATGGCCCACATGTCCGTAGCGAGCGTGAACGCGTTGATCTCGTTGACAATGTGATCCACGCCGTACATCGTGCGCGGCAGAATGATGTACATGGCGAATTTTGAACCCTGAAAAAAAAATTCGCTCTTCAGCTTGCAACCCCTTCGTTTCTTTTCATTTGATTGTTGACGCAATTTATTTTTTATGAGTATATATATATATAAATTTGTATATAATCGTGTGTGTCGCACGTACGTCGTACGGTATTCGCAGTATCTTCGCGTCGAGTTTCGACGATTCGACGTAATAAAATCGACCCACGGTGTGCATGAACGGCACGTTCACGATCTCGTTGGTGTTGACGTAAAATTTGGAAACGCGAGTGTTTTCGGGCTCGAAGTACCTGCGACGCCACGCGCTTTTGAAAAACAGCGCGTTCACTATCAGCATCACCGAGTCCTTCAGATCTTGTTCTGAAATAAGAAATAAATAAACGTCTAAAACAATAAGAAACAATTTCGCAAGTTGTTGAAATTGTTCAGTTGTTAACAGATTATAAATATCTTGTTAACGAGAAATGTGTGTGTGTGTGTTTGAGTTTTTGTTTTTTAATTTAATGATGTCGACATCTCAACGAATATCAAATGTCATAATTCAACTTCGATCGAGCATCAATCAAACGTACCGTCATCTATCATTTTCTTTATGTGTCCATCCGTAACGTTACTGACCCAGGAATTGACTCCGTTCGCGATCGCGTGCGCTTCGGACATATTGACGTTGATCACATCGGTGTTGTAAAAACTTTTCATCGTTGCCGCGTAACGTTGTCTGGTCAGCACGTTATTGTCGATGTAAATGCGCGATCCGATATTTAGCGTGTACGCCGACGACGGAGTCTGCGGAAATAAAACAAAAATCTCTCAAGAGTTGCTTGATCATTTAAAATTTTTTTTGCATGCACAAATTCATACACTTCTTCAAGATTTTATTATGTATTTTTATGCGGTAGATATAGATAGAGAAAGATTAGGGTTTCTTTACCTGCAGAGATTTCAAGACGTTGTTGAAAATCTCTCGAGTTCCCGGCACACTGAGAGGAAGGTTCAAGGCGTTGGCAAGTTCATGCGCGGTTTGACCCTGAGCTCCTTCGTAAAGAAGCACCAATGCTAATTTTATGGATATAGGCGACAACAAAACGTTTCCTGCATTTGCCACGCCTAGTTTCTAAAGAATTTTGTTTAGATCAAAAGAGAGTTATGGAGTAATGTAAATTGAAGATTTTGGGTAAAAGAGATTTTTTCATTCTTTTTGACCCCCCCAAAAAAAGTCATTTATATATGTTCTCTCTATTATTCGTTGTGGATTTATATTTCAATTGATTGTTAAATTTGCGAGGAAGTGCGTAAATACCCTGAACAGAGTCCAGTCAAATGTTGTGAAGCGTCCGCCCTGATACGGCACGAAGTCCTCGTCATCTTCAATAATTTTCGGAGAAACTTTCGACTGTTCGGGCTTTTGCGCGATGGCGCACGTACCTTCATCTACAAAAACCACCGCGATCGAGAGGCACAGCAAGCATCCTGCAATTAAAACACATCTTTGCTTAGAATTTTGAAAGCAACAGAGAGATGTTCGAGAGAGAGAGAAAAAATATTTCCCCATATTCTTGCGGAACAAAATTCAAAGTTTATGCGAAATTAAAATTCCTGTGCCAGGTAATTTTTGTTTTAATTAAAAAAACAATTTTGTTAAAAACAACAAAAAGAAAATAGTTTCCGGCGCGTTTTAATTTTGTAAAAAAAAAAATCATGTATTTCGTGTTTTTACTCCTTCAATTTTTTTAAATGTTTTAATATCAAAATTCCGCGGAATTTTTTTTTTGTTAGTCAGGTCTCATTTGTCGGTCGTTTGAAAACATTGTTTCTAAGAATTTTCTACGTGATTATACGCTTAATTATAAATTTCCGCTTTACAATCATCGGTTATTGTGGTACAACTTTCAAAACAATTCTCTGGTCGGCATTATTCTCAATTACTTCATGTTCCGAATTGATGACACAATTCGAATAAAAGTAGTGACCATTCGGAAGTCCCGCGAATCGGAAACCGCTTTTGTTTTGTTAGCGGTCAACAACCTCTCGCTCGACAAACAGGACTCGCGTCATTTTACGCGCTCTGTCTGCGAAACAAAAAAGGACTCAAGGACACTGTTTTTATATCGACCTTTGGTGTATTTGCGGCTCTATGTTTTTATTACAGATTATTTTTATTTTGTTCGCGCTCGTACGTTTTTCCGCCGAGAGGATTCATTCGAAAGAGTTTAGAATCATCGTGTAAAAATTGACGTGGCGAACACACACGACTCGCTTCATACGCGTGCGATATCTTTGACATTTTTACATTTGGCATTTTTTTTCCAGTTACCAATACAAAGCGATCAAGGTCGATCAAAATCAGAGATATGTGCCCTGACCTTGTCTATAAATAAGATAATGATGAGAGAAATGTTTGCGATTATTTCCAATTAGTATTGAGAGAGACAAACTTTTGATTAAGTAACCATTAGAAAAAAAAAACATTAATCAAATTTTCAGTTGGGTTTTCTTATTCTATTTGTTGTTTTCAGAAAAATTAACTCCTCTTTAAAATTGCGCAAAGACGGACGCACTCACCCAAGTAGCGCTTCATGACGGAGACGGCTGCGTAACGTGTATTGTTGGTTCTCGCGGACTTGCAATTTGCGTTTGTGCGATTTGTGTTGCTTATGAATTAAACGTCGGCTTTCTGTCTTTGGCGCTCGCGACGCGACTAGCGTGCGAGATGGAGAGCAAAACCGGTCAGCGGCTGCCGATCCGGTGGATTATAGAGCCCATCCGCGAGGAAGAGTAGTGGCGAAGCGACGAGCGGGAGGATGGGATTCGCAAGAGGAGGGAAACGTGACTCACAGAAGGGAGTACAATTTTTTTTCTTTTTTTTTTTTTTGATTGTCTTATTGATAAAAAGCCTCGTCGAAATTTCTACGAAGGTGCGTGTAAATCCACATCCGTGACAAATGATCTTTAAGAAGGTTTTTTTTTATGCGCCTCGATTCTCTTCGACGCGTCGGGATATTTATAAAAAGATTTGAACGACGCGTCGGGATATTTATAAAAAGATTTGAAAATCGAAGCTACCATCGAGAAACAATATTACATTTTGCGCGATTAAATACATTTTCAAAGTCAGTCTTGAAAATTAATCGCGCGCAATAAATAATTTTTCTGTACAATATAGAAACATGTGTAAAGTGTGTTTTACATTCAGTTGTGCGTGTAAAATTATATTTGTTTAACTCGTTTCTTATCTAAGATTTTATTTGTCGAATGAAAATTTAAGGAGAAACTACGTTTTGCGTGTTTATTTTCTGAGAATCCACACAAATTCCATTTTGTTTCAAGTTGAGGGAATTACGCGAGGCACAAAAGGCACATTCTTGTTTATTCGCGTTACCGCTATTAGCGCCCGACGCGGTCTCCTAATTAAACGTCTAATTAGTTATCAATGCTCCTCGCTAAATCGCTATCTGTATTTCTTAAATCTGTATATATTTCTTCAAAGATAATGCGAGTAAAAAAAAAAAAAAAAAAGAAAAAAAAACAGTACACACAGCGCGTTGCGCTTGTGACGTTGTTTCCCACCAACTCGGGATTCCTCGAGTTGTATGAGTTTAACAAGATTCCCTCTGATAGAGCAATCACGCATGACGGGGCCGTGATGACTTCTAGAGTACACACAAATATTTCCGAGTGATATCACGATTTGTCACGAAGTACACTGGGACGATGGGAAGTGAGGAATTTTGCCAACTTGCAATTACGTCATCATCCGCGAGGAAGGTGAAAAAGAAAGCAAGATAAAAAGAAAAAATAGACGCTTGTGCGAAGTCACTTGTATTGAAACATATCTTGTGCACATACATACATCGAAAGGTCAAAGCCTAACATGTCAAACTTACACTCGCAATACTTAGATAAAGCGTGTAAAAAAATCGCTCGTATGTACATTCGAAAGAAAATAAATACAACATATGTACAGATTATAACGCGCGGCGCGCGAGAAGTGCGCATTCTGTATCGCATCATCGCTCGGCGAGCGATTACACAATAAAAACAATTTGTATAAACGTTACAGCGCACGAATGCGCGCGTATCGCTAAATCCTCTTCTTCGTTGTTCTTTGCCGCACAATTGATCTTCGTTCGTCAAATGTCATCGACGGTCGTCGTTACGTATGTATTTTGAGTCCTTCTTCGATCATTTTGAGGATCGAATTTATGACGCCGTAATAATCAGTTATTTCTCTTACCTACGCAAACAATTGAATTTATTCTTAAAGACAGATCTTTTTTTGTGATTTAACTTTAAGTTAATTTTTAACTTAAAAAAAAAAAAAAAAAAAAATACAAGCCAAACTACCTAATATATGTTTGTAATTTTGTCTAGTAGTGAAGATGCAAAATCCAGTGTTTTCTTGAAATTCAGCAGCTCTGATAGCAAATTCTGTCGGGACAAACAAATTGTTTTTCGCGATTTTTCAATTCTGTCAACGTCGACGACACAAATTGGCAGCAAAAAAGAAAAACAAAATCAAAATCTGAGCCGAATCTATCGTCAAACGCGATGATCGACAGCGTGAGAAAATCAAATCTGTTCGAGTTTTTTGCCGACAATTTGTCGTCAAAAACGGGGAGGGGTCTGTCCGTTCTCGGACAGACTTGCGCGGACACAAAAAGAGTCACCGGTTTCTTGTTTGCGCGAATTTGCTACCAATTTGCCGTTATATTTCTGTTTTATTTTTTACGCTCGTCTCAAAATATCAAGCTCATTTATTACCTGTAATCCCTCGTAAGTGACAAAACAGTACGACGTGTAAGAGCAGAGTACGGAGATGAAAGCCGTAATTACGAGAACGAGCGTTATACCCTGCATCATGATGACGGCGGTGTGAACGCTGTATCGAGTTACGTCGGTGACGAGAGGAACCAACTTGGTGACGAAGGTGTTTCTAGAAAAGAACAAGTCGAACATACTAAATTTGTTATCCGAACGAGGTTCCGTTGCGGTATAGCTCATAGCTCCGAATTGTCGGAATTCAACTTGTGATTCATTGACAAGCGATGACTGCGTTGTCACATTATTGATAAGTAACGGCTGCATTGCTGTCGAATTTGTGTCCTCGATCACTAGCGATCTCGTGTTGTAAAAAGACGGCGATAGCGAGATACCCGTGACAATCGCAAAACCACTAGCGATTAAAATCGCCAACAATGCGATTTGACGCATATCTTCGCTCAATTGAAATTTCGTAAAAAGAACTACCTGCGCCTAGCGACTTATCTGCAACAAAAAAAAAAAAGAAAGATAGAAATCGGATTTTTTTCTCTCTCTCTCTCTCAAATGAAGTGTCGAACTATTGTTCGCTTCAAATGTGCACGTCGCGTTGACTATATATCGTAAAAATTTGTAAAACTGTTCGTTCGAATTCTAAATCGCGTTGAATACCCGGAGATACTTGTGCGACAATTTTATTTCAAGATTGTTGCGATATTTCTCAGAGTAAGATTGCGAACCGTCGATTTCAAACAAACACAAACTTTGAGCTCTTACCTGTTGTTATTTTCTTTCAATTAATTTTTGTTCTCACCCAAAGTATTCTCGCGGTGCAAAATTTTGCGTCGAACAAATAGATATATTTGGATGTGTGAAATTTTTATATCCGTCGTCACACACTCTTACAAAATTAAATCTGAAATCAAAATGAGCAACTCGTTTCACCACGCGATGCTTCGATCTCTTTCACAGCGCGACTGATCTCTCGATCGTAAAATCGTTTTGCGTTTTCGGGCGTGTACCACAAACATTCGAGTGAAATTTGAAAACGTTGCCACAGAAGAGGGGTAACAAATATACGCGCAACGTTCGTTACGCGTATAAACATCACAGAGGACACGCGGGTTTTGTCTAGACGCGCAACAAAGCGAATATGCCGAATTCGAATTAAAATAAAAATAAACGTCTCTTTTCGGCCGTAAGCGTCGCATTTACCTTGTCTGTGTCATCGAATCAATTTTTCATCGACGACGACGGTAAAAATCTAAGAAGAAGTTACCGACAGATCCGTGAATCTCTGTTGTGAGTCAATACGCGATAAAAAAAAAAAACTCGCGGATACGTGAAGATCCATATCGCTGCTGGAAAAAATGTACGTGACGACACTTATAAAAATATAAATACTATCGCAAAGAGAATCTTTCAGCAAAGCAATGGGGGAAAAAAAAAAAACGGATTTCGGGAAGGTGGGAAATTACGTGCTTTGAGAGAGACGGAAGGAGTAAGAGCAAACCGAAGATTGATTGTCCAATCGCAAATCGTTCATAAATCACCGTTGTCGGATTAAAGATTAATAGTATATTTACACATGATTTCGCTGTACAGAAACAATTTCCAAAAATATATGTACATATAAGCGTGCCGCGAGCAAGAATATGTACATGCTTTTTTGTACAAAAAAATAAATTCCGTATTTTGCGTTCTTTGATTCTTATAACGTATAAAAAAAAAAAACTTTATCGTAGACTTGTTGATCATCAGTGTAAACTTTGGGGCATCACAGTTTGAATCGATTTGATTTTTATCTCAGTCTTGATCCTTCTCTCGCACTTGGGCGCGTATCACTTCGATCTCGTCCTCGCTGCTCACGGATTCAATTACGATGTTCGTTGCTTTCTTGACTTTGGCCGGTCTCGCGTTCTTGTTCGAACAGACGCGTTTTCGTTTCTGTCGCTCCAATTCTCTCTCGGCTCGTTCCAACAACGAGTCGTCGTGAACAGACGTGCCGCCTGGCTCGTCCTCCTTAACGCAGAACGAATCCTGAAGCAAATCGTTATCAAGTTACTTTTGTTAGTTAGTTCACGCGAAGTGAGAAAAAGATCAACGAGAATTTTGCAATACTGATTTGATATAAACGATACGTACGTAAAGATATGTCTCGTGCGCTTCCGACAGCGACAGAGGTTGCGAGTAGATCTCCACAGGCGAATCGGGCGATCGAGGTTCCTTGAAGCAAAAGGCGCCCGGTCTCTTGACCGGGCTCCTGACGGTGCGCAGATAATGCGCGTGCATATCGACGTCTTCCTGAGAAAATTGCGTGTAGCTCACAAAATCCGCCAGATCCCGGTCGTCCGTGTCGTCAAGATTGACGGTCTCGTCCGAACTCAAGTCGTAACTGACGTCCACTATCGCTTCGTCGTCTATGAACTGATTTTTAACGTCATTTCTACATTTCTGTCTTCGCTTGATTTTTTTCTCGTCCATCTTTCTGCTCACAGGCGACGTTTGCTTGGACGAACCAGGCTCTGGGATAATTCGATCTATCGCGTTGTTCGCACACTTGTCAGGCGCTCGGAACGAATTTAGATCTATCGTTTTAGCCGGATGTTGAATCTTGTTTCTGTTCAACGACAACACCGAACGTCTGCTGCTAGTCGGCGTTGACATACCGCACGGTTTCACGTTTTTCCATGTGGTATCGGGAGAGTTAAATTTTGTCGATTCGAAGGTTTTCGACGCATCGAACAAAGAACTGCTGTCTTCGTTCTTCGAATTTCTGTTGCAAAAGTAACTGCTTTCGATCTCGTCGATTTTCTTCGCGTTATTTACCGTAACAATGAAATCTTCGTCGGAATCGTCGGGAAAATTGAAATCGTTCCTGCGCGATTTCGCAATAGAATTGCGATTAACATTCGACAGCTCGAGTTTTCCTATTCTCGAACTTTCCTTCTCCGAAGCTTGAGTTTTGATATCGACCGTGATCCATTCGACGTCGTTCTTCTCAACGAGCGGTTTCTCCTTACTCGTAGATCTCGGCAATGTCTTCGCGTTGTTGTTCTTCATTCGCGCTATCTCGCCTATAGCTTGAGTTACGGAGAATAAACTCTCGTTCGCTTTTGAATTGCTTGCTGAATTGTTTTTACTAGACTCATGCCGAATAAATTGATTTATATCGTCATCGCTATCGAAATAACAATCTTGCAATGTGTCCACGAAATTGTTTACACATCCGTTCGTTTGATTAGGTCTCGTAAACTCTGTAGACATTGACGCATCTTGATTGGATTCAATATTGGTCTTGTCATCGGAAGCGATGTCGGTACTTTCACGTGTTGCATCCTTTCTTTTCGTGTTTTCGGTGAGATCATTGAAGAAACTCGGAGATTCCGTATTTCGTCCCACTGCGATTTCGTTTTCCACCTCGTCCTCGGACAAACTGAAGGACTCGTTTAATATGTCCTCGAACATACTGGTTTCCATGTCCTCGAATACGGGCGAGTCATCAGTTCTCGAATTAGCAACGCTTTCCTTGTTCTTGTCTCCCGCGTTAGATGCAACAGCCTCGCTCGCATTTACGTCTAAATGTTGTTGACTTTGGCACGAAACTCCGTCCGAGTCGGAACTTTCATCCAGTATGTCTTCGAATCTCACCTCGCTGTTATCGATATTCCTTTCGTTTCGAATGGTGCCCCAAAAGTTATCGTTATCGATGACACTCGAATTCACGTTATGAACATTATTACGTCCGTCGTTTTTACTTTGCGTTGACGGATTATCTCCGTCGTACATTGTACATTGTGTCAGCAAACCATCTATAAGGGATAAATCAATAGCGCTTACGTCGGGTACTACGAAATTGAACAATAACGTAACCGGTTTTGGTGCGGGAATGTAAGTCGTGTCCATTTTACGTTCAGCTGCGGAAGACATTTCTTCTTTCGATTTCTTGATCGCGCACAATGTCAGAAACTCGATCCCGGCATTATCGTCGGATAACAATTTTACTTCCCCGGGACGTATCGTATTGTGCAGACCTTGCGATCTCGACTGAGTAACAACGTTGTCACGATTCTGCTCGCCGGACTGATTGGTAAGAAACCTCATCATCGACGGTTGACCCGTGTCTTTTTTTGTAAACATATCTGAAATAAATTACAAATTATATTTAAGAAATGTGCGCGAGCAGATCTTGGTGATCTGAGAAATAATAATGAAACACAGATAATAAATAAATCCAAATTGTTCTAACAACTCACTTTCTTTCGGTTTTGAGGTAGACGCTTCGCTCTTATTATTGGAAACTTTTTGTTTTGAGACAGACGCTTCGTTTTTGTTGTTAAGAGTTTTCCACTTTCTTTTAGACTTTACAGTTGGCGTCATCGGCAATACAATATGTCTTTTGTGACAGTCCGGATTAAATTCGTCTGGTATCATTCTGGGATTCTCCATGTAAAAAGAAGGGCATATGTTGCTTGTATTTAATATTTTATTGTTCAAGGAATCCCTCTTAGAAAATGTGGATTTCAAATTCTGCAACGAGAGAAACATTTTTGTAACGTTACGCTAGATTTGCGTGAAAGAATTTTATGGTTTTCAGTTCACCTCGTGCTCTTTCCCGTCGGTAACGAGAACAATTATGTGACCATCTCGTTTGCGACCTGTTCTGCCCATTCTTTGAACCAGCCTTATCGGGGAATGCTGTGACACATCGAAGCATATTATCAGATCTACTTCCCCTACGTCCAATCCTTCTTCACCTGTGTAAAACATATCGTTAAAATTTGTTGTTTTGTTTATTTGTTAATTTATTTTGTTTTATAACGAGAGTGTTTACCTATACTCGTCGAAATTAATACGTTCACACGATTGTTTCGAAAATCCTCCAACGCTTTTAGCTGTTGCTTCTGCTTCTGACCAGCTTGACCAACAAACATCTGTGGCCTGATTAACGGTTTCGATTGCATGAGCAAAACATAGACCTCATTGACTATATCTCTAAACTGGTTTTGTGAAGCAATGTATTAACCTTTGTACTTCTAATATTATAAGAATGGTTTCTATAAATTTTTACTATATAAACAATCATTTTTATATGTAAATTGATATGTGATATACAAACTTCGACGAAAACTATGGCTCTTGTGTCCTTTTGATCATTATCATTCTTTTTAAAGTGATGCTCAAGCAATTCTTTCAATTTGTGAAATTTATTATGACCAAATACAATATTTGTCGGTGTCTGAAATAATTTACCTTCATATATATTTTATTTACGTACGCAGATTTTAATATTTTATCAAAATATAAATTACGAACCTCCGATATTTGCCCACTGGGATATACCTCCGGAAATGGTCCGAGATAAGATTCTATGTCGTGAAGCAAATCTCGCAAATGAATTTCTTCACGCATCCAAAACTTATCGGAGTGAGCTAAAAAAAAATACAAGTTTTTTTTTTAAGATTTATTTACACTTAAAACAACTAAATTGTCAATAAAATCCAAATTGTGCTTTTGTTAAATATATTTTGATAAAAAAATAAAAGATCAAGTAACATACTTTGATAAAAATGAAAAAAGGCACGCAGTCCATGTCTAATCAGAAGATCATAAGCGTGATACATAGTTAACAAAATATTCAAACTTTTCATAATTTGTCCGTAATTTCCAGATTTGTCAGTCTTTGTTTTGTAATCTCTTAATAAATGAAAGATCTAGTGAAAACAATACAGTGCAGTACAGTTGAACTAATAAAAATATTAAAACTTCAATATGCGTAATATGTGAGTAAATTGAATAACTACCCTTCCTTTTGAAATGTTTGCAGTTTGACCCTTCAATACATTACATCGTATAAGAAGCTTAACATGGGGATCCATAATGAAAATGTATCTCTCTTTGAACTTAAGCAATTCATTGCTAAGAGGTACTAAAATAATGTCCACCTTTCTTTTATTTATATATGGCACTATATCACTTGAATTTTCGTCTCTTAGTTCTAAATGGGAAATATGTAGATTTTGTATCACCTGTAAAACATATTAAAACCATTGATATAAAGACACTTCAGTTTTCTTATATCTAATATCACATCAGACTCTACACTATATCTACTTACTTCATGAACATTGTCCAGTTTATTTCCAGGTGTAGCAGAAAGAGCTAATACTCTAAAATATTGATTTTGTGTGGATAGTATTTTAATACACTGAAAAAACACTTGTATATAAAAAATTTAATTGTTAATATGTAAGATTTATATATACTTTCTTTATTTCTTTACCTCACAATATGAATGTTTGCCCAATGCCTTGTGAGCTTCATCCAGAACAACACATTTGACTGTGTGGCTAGGTACAATTGCTTTCTCAAGATCATTGTGAAATACTTGTGGAGTAGCAAATATTATTCTCTTCTTGATCCAAGCTTTTTCACGAATCTTTTGATTAACAGCACCTGTAGAAAATACAGGTCAAGTAATATATTTTAACAAAATGATCTCTGTACAAAGGACATAGATAATTATATATATGTGCATTATGTGTAAAGAGAGAAACAAATATTTAAAGAACCTGTGAGCTCCATCATATCTTCACTTGGAATCCCCATAACTTCATAACATGCATTGATTTGCTGAGCAACTAGAGGTTTTGTTGGAGCCAAAAATATTATTTTTCCAATAGGATACCATCGCCAAAAATTATACATTACAACAGCAGCAATAAAGGTCTTTCCCAAACCTACACAAAGCAAGATTAAGAACAAAAGTATATGCTGATAAAAACTTATAGTCTATTTGATCTTCCACCGAGTGTTGAGAACAATTGACAGTAATGACTTTTCTCTTACCAGTAGGTAAACAGACCAAAGTATTGCAATATAATGCAGATTTAACTATGTCAAATTGATACTGGCGAACTGGATAATTTTCTGGATATATCCAGGTGTTTCCAGCTGACAGATCGAAACCTCTGGTCTCTGGTTGGTCCGAAAGTCCAATATTTTGCGATGGCAAATTCATTGTGATAGAAGTTGTCATTTAAACTTTACACTTTCTCGTAAGTAAACACAACACGCACACGCACAATAACTTTGTCAACACTTAATAAATCAATTTAAATAAAAAAAAACATGTATTTCTCATCACATATAGCTCTCTTAAGATTTATTTTATAAAACTACAGAAAGATAACACGTGATTCGTGATTATTATTTATATATATTGTATTGTTTACTTTTATATATTAATCTACTATTACTCAATGCGTAATTATGTACAAACTTCATTTCCATTGGAAATGAAAAACTCATAACCGCAATTTTTTTTTTTCGAATTGAAGTCTCTGAATTAAGAGCGAAACAAGTTTGTGCAAGAGTTCGTATCACGATTGTCAACACTCATCGTATCACAGGTAGCGAATGTTCACTGGACGTTGACCCATTTTCAGAGAAAGATCTGAGAGCGGCCACCAGGCTTACAGAATGCGTAATTGCTTTTCCGCCCAGTAATCAGCGCAATGTCCCCAAGTGGTGCACACTGGCAACTACGTAGCCATGCTCACGAACGACTTGTCGGTATGTTGTATCGCATCTATTGTTGCTTCTTTTCCGCGTTGCCGATTGGTTGGTTAATTGATCGAGTCGAATCGAATCGGTAAGATCGAAAGAGTAAATAATGAAAAGCGATTTTGAAACAGGTCGTCGTATATGTAGAGAAAATTAAAAACGTAACTAAAGTTACGTGACAGGAAAGAGTAGAAAAACAACATTAAATAATATTATACATATAATTTATTATATATTTATAATATTATACTTTATATTGTATTATTTGTGTTATATACATACTACAGTAATGTCACTGACCTCCGCCGCGCGGCCTTGGCGGGGTCACTGACCTCGGCCGCGCGGCCTTGGCGGGTCACTGACCCCGCCGCGCGGCCTTGGCGGGTCACTGACCTCGGCCGCGCGGCCTTGGTGGGGGGGGAGTCACTGACCTCGGTCACGCGACTGCGGTGAAGTCACTGACCTCGGCCGCGCGACCGCGGCGGTGTTACTGACTTTGATCACGTGATTACGGCATATATATATATGACATTTCTCATATGTGTATTATATGGTTTATAAGACGTATATACTATCTGTCATCGCGGTGACAGGTTGTGTTCACTGACAACATGTTAAATAAAAATAACAATAGCGTGCGCGTAGCGCGCGCCTGTGTTGTGCTAGTATCTAAATATAATTTGTGCCGTATTTACACGATTTACACATCTTTTCAATCAATCAATCTATAATGGCTCAAAGAGCAATGAAAGAAAATCACAATTGCGTTTTAGAGTCAGTGCGTGTGGTGTTGCATCAGCCGTACCGGTTAGATGTGCGTAGTTACGCTTAGATATTTTTGGACAATCTTCGGTGTTTTTACACCGATTTCTTCAGTTTATCAGTATTTTTAACGAACGTACAACTCCGTGGCTTGTACCCAAACCACGGTTTAGGACCTGTGTCACGATTCCTAAAGACTTAGAATGGCGTATGGACTAGCTTGAAACGGTCCTTTGAGCCATATATGCACCAAACCAAACCAATTGCGTTTTAGCTGTTAAGTAATCTTCTTTGAGCGCCAATGTGCACAATGGTGCGCATTCGAACTACAGAGCTATGTCTGTTTTTTTCAGTCGAATAATATGTACACACGTACGTTTTTGGTTCTATTCCGCGCTATGATCGTTTAACACTTGCTTTTCACACCTCTCTCTCTGTATGATTATATTATATTATATTATTAATTTGTAATATTATATTATTTACAGCTTTGTGTTAAGTGTAATATTTACAATATAATTACATATAATTTACAAGTATTAATTATAATATACTTAACTACATTTTACAACCATAATTCTTTAATATATATATCTACGCTTGTTCAGCACTTATGTATAATTGTTAAATACGCGTATTTAAGGTCGCCAATTTATTGTAAATAGTCTATGTAACAATTCTTATAGAAATTTATTAGACTGTTATTTTTTGAAATAAAAGAACCTTTGAGAAAATCGCTAACAATGTCTTTTTCGCTTCGCACACGTCGTTGAAGTGGTAGTTGTTTTTTTTTTTTTCCTATAAAAAACGGAACGTTCTCCAGATCTTCTTTTTTGACAAAGTAAACGTATATTCCATCGTCTAATATCACACAGAGTATTCCGCAAGAATATATGTAGTAGTATAATGACATATTAGTATAACAGGCGATGTGTGTAATGTTTTATGAAAATAGAAAAAAAAGTGAAAATACTCTAAATAATTGAAAAAGTGTACCATAAATATGCTCTTATCATGAACACATATATATGTGTACACATATATATATATATATATATTGACACAATACACATCTTCACGTACATCCTCATCTTTTCTTTTCTGCAACGTTCTCTCTTATCGCATTCTCTTGCATCCCTCTTTTTTTCCCTTCTTCACCTGCTGCTCTCTTTCCATTTCCCATCTCTCTCTACTTCTCTCTTCTCTCTCGTTCTCTCCTTCTCCCTCTCGACATAGCGCAGCCTCCTCTTGGTATCGACTGCGCAGACTCTGCGCCTGCAACATCTACTTATTCTCTCTCTTGGAACGAATTATCTGTCAGTACCAAAAATTCACACACACACACACAACGCAACTCGGTCATTCCCGACTTATTGGGGAGGAGAAAATCTTCTCGAGATAGAATTAGTGTTACAACGGGCATAAATAAAATGTAATTGGGGGAATTGATCAACAGCATCGAATGGGATAAGCGCAAAGGACTGTGTCATTTCGCAATTACTCAAGTTGAGAGGAAACCACGGAGCGTTCGATTTGCTGCTCCACCGATGGCAGATCACGAAAACATTTACGACGACGAGGTAACTTGAATCGCTTTTTTTTTTTTTTTTTATCGCTGTGCCTATGCACGTGTGTGTATATGTGTATGTGTGTTTATATGCGCTTGTATGTGTGCATTGCATCTGTGATATTTCAAAGTTTTACCAATTAAGAAAGAAAAGAAACATTTTTTTACAAAAATGTTCTTTTTTTCACAGAAAATGTCTGAAATACACACACACACAATTTTTGGGGGGAATATTTTATGGAAGAAATCACTTGTGCAATTCTCGTTTTATTCATTTCTCATGTAAAAAAAAAATGTTGTATGTTAATGATTTGAATTCTTGAATATATCACTCTAGAGATTGATATATATATATATATATATATAAATGTAATTATGTACATATAAATTAAACATATGAATGTTAGTTACCTAACAAAATTGAATGAATATGCAACAATAAAATAAATAAGAATTTAACTTTCGCGTTGTCAGTTAAAAATAAATAAGATTTAAGATTCGAAAATCAATACGAAACAAAATAATTGTCTTGTTTGCGCTATTAAATATATATATGTACAATAGCAAACAAAATATACATACATATATACATACATACACGTAAATATATAAATACAAGTTATAAATATATAAATAAAAGTAGCTTTCTTTTGGGGGTTGGTTTATGTATAATATACGTGTTGCCGCTATTATATATGTACATCGTGAAACGGGTTATACATTTTTGAGAAGTTTTGCCTTTGTGGGAGTAATATGAATTATTGAAGACAACACAGCAGCTGTGTTTTCTAAAATAAAAGAATAGACTGCGCGATAAATAATAAATGAATAATTATTAAAAAAATATATTATACAGTATAATGTGAGATGAGCGCATTATATGCAGTAATAAAACTTTTATTCAATTGCTACTGAATAATTTTTACATATGTAATACAGATATATAATATATAATTTCAAGTTAAAATGTAAGATACTGTGCGATATAGAGAATATTTAATACTTCTTTGTTGAAATTATTTGGTTTTAATTCTTTTTTTTTAATAACATACATGGATGCAAATCGTTGACGTACGGAACGTCGTTTCTCTCTCTTTCTCTCTCTCTCTCTCTCTCTCTCTCTCTCTATCGATTTTCTAGCTATAATAACTATAACAAGCTACCTTTATCGCGAAACTCGCATGCTTGTGTGTATAATGAATTGTAATCTTTTCAACACGTAATATTAAAATCGCGATTTGACTTTCAAACTATTTTTTGCAAGTAACAAATGTCGAAAACACGTGCGTACGATAGATATGTATGAATGAATAAGGGTCGTTTAGAACGTGGGATTTTCCCCTTACGTGAGAAATGTTTTATTGATAATTCGACATTTCTCTCGCGTGTCACCTTCCCTTCGAGAAAAAAAAGTCCACCTCTGAAATAGTATATGCCACACACAGAAAAAGCTCGCCGCGCTATGCGACGACTTGTACTACTAACTAACCACCGTATTCGATATCTGTGGTTTCGTTGAAGAATCAAAACTTGTCTTACGCGGAGTCACATTATAATTGACGGACTCTGTTCTCAAAAGATTTGACTCTACATATAACGGCGGAGAAAACGGTGTTTATTTATGTTTCTTAATGTATTCTATTTCGGGCGTGGGGAAATTGAAAAGTGTAAAATCTAAAAAACACATCGCAGCAGAGAACGCACATCGCCGGTGTGTTCGTAAACATCAGACTCTTTTTAAAAAGACTCTCTTTCAATCGCAGAACGTTTCGATTGTTTGTTTATTATTTCTTTCGATCGTCTCTCCCCAGTCCAAGTAATTAACAAATATACCGAAAATTGTGTGAAAATATACGAGGAACAAGCAAACGTTATTTAATAAATATAACATCTTTATATTTATAGTCCAACTTGACTAAAGGCGAAGTTAATGCTGAAGTTGAGCGAAAGAATTTTTTTCAGCGAAGTTTATTTGTCTCCTCTCACGTGCTGACATTATACCCCATCAGCATCGCGTATATACATATATACATATATATATACATTCGCTATACGGTCGCATGTATACGCGCGTTGAATTATCAAAGTGCGAAAGGAAAATTTCACAATACCGCAATTTTGCACATTTCGTTCTCGATGATTTCACTCTTTAGCGAAGTTGGACTGTATTATACGTACGTGTATACGCACATACTTTAGTAGATTTATTTTTAGTGTTAGTAAAGATTTTTGCGCGATAGGAGCTAGTTTCAGCCAATCCAAATCAAAGGAATTGGCGTGGGATCTTAATAGCATTGCTCGTGATCGTCGCGGTCTTAGCTCTTATTGTCACATCAGTCGCCTTGCTCACTCCTCCCGATGACGGCCCTAGAGTGCGAGGAACACGATTGCATCTCGCCGAGGTGAGTGGTGTAATCGAGATAAAATAAAACGTCGTAAAACAAAAAAAAGAAGGCAATTTTTCTACCTATCGAATAGCATATCAAAAAATTGTGCGTGTGTGTGTGTACAGAGATATTGATTTGAAATTTTTTATTATCCATCTTTAGGTGCTGTCAGGCGAATTGTCTCCCTTGTTATTTAACGGATCGTGGGTGAGCGATCGCCACATATGCTATCGGGACTATTGGGGCGGTATCTCTTTGTTGAATGCTTCGGATGTGAATGTGTCGCATAGTTTAATGCCGAATGAAACATTTGTACGTGTTTATCCAACATAATAACGCCAAAAATTGTACTACGTTCGATCGTGCTATTTTTCTTATCGCGTAGAAAAAAACGCGCGTTAAAAATATTCTAACTTTTTATCCGTCTGTTTCTTTTTTTTTTTTCACACGCAGAGACGATTAAACCCAGCGAAGTTCTCCCTGTCGCCGGATCACAAATATTTGCTTCTTGCTCAAAACGTGAAGAAGCTATTTCGTTACTCGTATCTGGCGCAATACGTGGTTTACAACGTGGAATCACGGTTAGAATAATATTTATATATATCAAAAAAAAAACGTCATGATTATAAAAATAATCTCTTATTTATTGAAAAATTAAAAAAAAAACTGATTGCACGTTATAAGATCTGAATCGAGTTGTTTGTGTATTCTTGACGACGATTTTACAGAGAGTGCGTAGCGTTAACTCCTTATCCAGAAAAAAACGATCATCCGTATCTTTTACTTGCTCAATGGACACCACATAAACCTGGAATCGTTATGGTGCATGATTACGATATTTACTACATGACGAGTCCTACGAGTAACACCGCATATCAAGTAACAAACACGGCGATACCGGGCATATTGTACAACGGGGTGCCGGATTGGCTCTACGAAGGTAAGAGATTTTATATGTTAATGTTAACTCTTCTGTCTAGCGTGTATACATATGTGTGTGTGTATATATATATATATTTATTTATAAACAGAGGAGATATTGCACAGTGGAGAAGCGATCTGGATGTCACCGGATGGTAAAATGATGCTTTACGCTTCGTTCAATGATTCTCTCGTAGAACAGATGCACATCCCATGGTTCGGGGAAGGAACCAGAGCGTTATACACTGATATTCGATCTTTACGCTATCCTAAGGTATCGAAGAAATTAGTAGTTGATCCAAATTTTGTGTATTGGCATTTTCTAAAAAAAAAAAAAAAAAAGAGAATATTATTTTAGCGTCACTTTATTTTCTAGCCAGGAACGTCGAATCCTTCGGTAGGACTATATGTTGCTGACCTAGTTGATCCTAAAAATATTCGCACGAAGATGGTAAAACCACCTCCTATCATCGAACGTGTGTAAGTTTATTTTCTCTTCAGCATTTATTTTCATCCAACTTTTAGAATAAATTTATTTTCTCTCTCTCTCTCTCTCTCTCTCTCTCTCTCTCTCTCTCTCTCTTTCTCTCTCTGTCTCATGCGACTTTAGTACATTTTAATAAAACTTCCTTGATTTATAAAGCGAATCTTTCATTCGAATTTATTGTTTCTATCAGAGATCATTATTTTTCAACCGTTTCCTGGATATCTCTGACAGAAGTCTGCATAACGTGGTTGCCACGCCTTCAGAATTTCTCGGTGGTGACCATCTGTAAGAGTCCACTGTGGCACTGTCAGGTTTGTGCGCGCCATGTATCTTTTTCTCCCATCCAATCTCGAATGTACACTAAATATGCGAGCTATATCCATTATTAGTGTTTGTATATTCACACACACACAATATCAAACACTTCGTCTAACAAAATTTATAGAAACAATCGTTACACGTATATGATGGTTTTTTTTAATTTTCTTTAGAACACATCAAAGCGACTGCTTCCGTAGCGTTCAATTTGATTTTTTTTTTTTTTGCAATCTTCGTTTCGATCTAATTCTATAAATATCCGCGAGATGAGAAGAAAAAACACAAAGATGCGAATTATTTCAGGAGATACAAAGAATAACGGGCGATGGCAACGGATGGGTGGATACTCCTCCGGAGCCTCCTTTGTTTTCAGCGAATGGCAGCAGTTACATCGCGATAAGTCCTGTGAAAGAGGGACCGGCGGGATATTACAAGCACATAATTTGGGCTAATGTGACTCGAAAACAAATAGTGCCTTTGACGCATGGGAAGTTCGAGGTCGTCAAGATTTTAGCGTGGGACCAAAGAAATAACACGATGTAACCCGATAAAATGTTTTTTTTTTTCTCGTAGTAATTTTACTGATCACAGTTGTTGGAAGAAAATTCAATATTGTTAAGCAATTTTTATTCTTATCAGATATTTTATTGGCATTCCATCCATGAGACCGGGCCAGAGACATCTCTATCGAGTTAGTTCTATTCTTCCTAACATGGGCTCGTCATTGTATCCGGCTGTGTGTCTCACGTGTCCTCTCACTTCGGCCGCTATTGCGATGACGGACGAGCATCGGGGGGTCGGTGGTTCTTCGAAGAATAGTATGATCAACCGAAACGAATGGCACGATCATTACGAAAGTCCGATGGATAATATCGATCACAAGGAACATCGCGATGAAAAACAAACAAAAGATAAAAAGGACAAATCAAAAAACAAGAATAGAGGCACGTGTTGCGGGAAAAGATCAATTTTTTCTACTTGAAATTTCTATTATTTTATTTGAATCTTTTATTTGATTTCAATATAAACTTTATTTATAGAGAATGTTGAACCACCTTGTCAATATCACAATGCGATTTTTCCATCCGGTGGTCATGATTACTTCATCCTTGAGTGCCTTGGACCTGGTATACCTACTGTGACTCTGTACAAAACGGAAATGCCTATGCCACGACTACTCGTCCTATTGCAAAACAACACATTGCTGCGCGTAAGTTTTCGATAAAAATAATTTGTAAAATTTAAAATTATTATTTCATATCATTTCATTATTATTTACTATTATTTCAATCTGTCTTGTGGATAAGTTATATGAAAAATATAGCGTAAATTTTATTTTGTTTCTTGGATTACAGGAAAGATTGGCAAACATTGCACTTCCGCAAATAAAGACATTCCCCGTGCAAATAAGCGGCGGTTACAACGCTCAGGTGAGATTGTATCTACCACCCGGGCTTAGAGAGGACGAAATTACACGTTATCCGTTGATTGTTCAAGTGTAAGCATGTCATATTTATATTATTTTTGTTCTTACGCTGCTTGTTTTTCTGTGTCGTAGTTCGCGCATAGTGACTAGTGAAAGTTTTTATACAATTGTGCAAAATGTGCGCGCGTAATATATATATATATATATATATATATATATATGTATGTATATTACAAGCTGCTAAAGAGATGCACTTGACTATCTAATCCGACACTTTGTTCGCAGATACGGTGCGCCCGGGTCGCAATTAGTCACAGAGACGTTTAAAGTGGACTGGAACACGTATTTAGCTAGTCGGAAAAACGTTATTGTCGCACAGATCGATGGCAGAGGAAGCGGCGGGCAAGGCTATAAATTACTCCACGAGGTTTATTATAGACTAGGGACCGTAGAAGTGGCCGATCAACTTGACGTTACGGAGTAAGCAAAATATTAAAAAACTATTTGTCTTCTCAACTTGTCTGCGATATATTTCTGAAGTTATTTTAGTATTTTTTTATACCAGATTATTTATGTGACAAAACATAGATTATTTATGTGACAGTTGGTGATTTCTCCAAAGTGTCAAATAACAAGTGACTTTATATCATTGAATTCTCTTTTTGAGAAAACTTGAGAATACAAAGTCACATTAATTCGATTTTAATTATTTAGATACTTACGGGACTCGCTACATTTTGTGGACAGACGAAGAGTTGCTATTTGGGGTTGGAGTTACGGGGGTTTCGTTGCGGCTCTCGCTCTGGCTCATCCGGACCAAGATGTGTTTCAATGCGGAATAAGCGTTGCGCCTGTCGTCTCATGGAAACTTTACGGTATTATGCAAATTGCTGCAGGATCACTATTTTTTCGAAATACATCTATCTGGGTTTGTTCTCTGATTATTCAATGCAAATTACGTAATATTACGTAGATTCTGCATACGCCGAGAGATATATGGGATTGCCAAATGCGTCATCCAACTACAAAGGTTACGATGAATCCAATGTTTACAACAAAGTCGAACATCTACGTGATAAAATGTTTTATTTGGTGCATGGAACTGCGGATGACAACGTTCAGTTCCAACAATCCATGGCACTTGCTAACCATCTCGTCAAGAGAGGCATACTTTTTCAGCAGCAGGTAATTTAATATTTAATTTAAAACAACGCGCGCACACGCACACACACACGCACGCACATACACACATTTTATAACGTTATTATACTTTACAATGTTTGTTTTTATATTTTGCATTATTTTAATTTTATTTCTTTAAAAATATTTTTTATTTTTTTTTTTTAGTATTCTAAAACTCCTGAATATATACTCACTACACAATTTGTGCTTTTGAACATCGGCGGTGGCAGATTATAGTTTATTTCTATGTACATAAGTTACAAGACAAAATCAAATTCAATTTTTAGTTTAAAATAATGGTTATAAAGAAAGCCTTGGTAATTGGTTATTTACGAAGTTATGTATACAAAATTTAAGTGAGAATTCATATTGCCATCTTCTCCTCTATGATTTCTCGCTTTTTGAATTCTTTCCGAACGTCACGATTCATTGTTTCCCCATTCTTCTGGCGTCCGACCGCTACGAGAATTAAGAGGGGGAACAATGAATCGGGACGCTAGGAAAGGACATCCTAGCGGGCCGAGTTACTGTCAGTTAGCCTACTGAAGTGAGCGAGTACCCAACAGCCTTAAGAAGAAGCTTGATTTATCTCGAAAGAATATACTTGATTTATTCACAGGTTTATCCAGACGTAAGTCATTCCTTAGCGGGCGTTAAAGGACATCTTTACCTCTCGATGGCGCAGTTCTTGGACGACTGTTTTCAAAAACAAGTACCTGTTGATCTGAAGCCCGGACTTGGCAGTGGCGGCTCCGGTGAAGTTTAATGCAGTGTGCAAACAGATTTAAGGATAAATATCGTATAAAAATATTCTCACAAAGTTAAAAAAAAAAAAAAAAAGAAAATTTATTAAAATATCTAAACACATCTCCAAATTGTGTTCTGTTTACTAGATACCGTTTAGAGAAGACACGCGTGGCCCACCGTTTTATACTTTCGAAATTGTAAAGTTATAGGAGAAGTTATACATATATATATGTATATGTGTATATATATATATATATATATATATATATACAGGGTGTCCCAGAATTGCCGTACAATCTCTCGTAGGCAGGTAGAAGGAATAAAACTGAGTCGAAAAGTCCTGAACCATTTTTTTCTATTATTTATAATAAAGGAGTAATTATTGAGTAAATCAGGCCAATCAGCACCGACCTTTAGCCAGGCGCACGTCAGTGAACTGCGCGGAGTGCTCACACACACCAGGCGCGTGGCTCACTGACGTGTGCCTGGCTAAATGTCGGCGCTGATTGGCCTGATTTACTCAATAATTTACTCCTTTATTATAAATAATAGAAAAAAATGGTTCAGGACTTTTCGACTCAGTTTTATTCCTTCTACCTGCCTACGAGAGATTGTACGGCAATTCTGGGACACCTTGTATATATATATATATATATATGTATATATGTAATAATATAAATATATATATATTACGCGAAAATAATCCGTCTCGAACACGATTCACAGTGCGTTATTCACCACAGTGTTAACTCCTTCGCTACAGCAATAAATTTGCGTGCATCTTTTGCGAGACATCACTTATTGTCGTACAAAATTAGTTAATATAAGAAATTGACACAAGTTTATCTTAAATAAAGTCAACACACACAGTCGATTCTAAATCCCCGTAAAATCATTGTACAAAATCACTATATATATGCGAACAATATATATAATATATATATATCTGCTGGTGACTATAATCATCCTTCGTACACGGTGGGCGCTCAACACAACGGGTGACTATAGTTATCTTTCGTAGCGAAAGAGTTAAAAAAGAAAGACATGCATTAATCGTCTAATCAAATAAATAGTCTATGAAAGGTGTACAGCTGATATTTATTTTTTAGAAATCGCCGATGTGTACCTAAATACTAAATTAAGATCGATACAATGGAAATTGTTGCCTCACTTTCCATGAGGAAAGGTTAAACTACTATGACAATCTTACTGCACGCGCGCGTGCATACATACACACATGCGCACACACGCACACACATATTATACATTCCTGAAAAACACGTGATACTTGACAAATACACATCTTATTATTAAGAAGAAAAAATGGCAACTGACGCTCTTCATTTTACGAAGAACTTTTACGTGTGTATACGGTGCTGTTGTTTTCTCTCGAGTTTTACTCAATTAACTTTAAATAATAATAATATTAATAATAATAATAATATATATATATATATATCGTCAAACAAAGACAAATAATACTTTGGAAAATTGAGCAATCATCATTTTTCTTAGATAAAAAGCAGAACTTGTGTAATATGTATATGTATATATATGTAGTAACACAATGCGCCTTGTTACAAAAAACAAATGGCACTCAGTCATGTTTTGTTTTTTTTTTTTTTTAACTTGTTTTTACTTTACGACAAATGTCAAAATTCGTTCTTCGATTCGATCACAAAGAAGCGTTATCTAAATTATAATTTATAATAAGCTCGCACGCAAATTGTTATTTAAAGAATTCTAATAATGTTAATATTTATATGAATTTTAAAAATAATATATCATTCGCGTGTACACAAAGATATGTCACGAATAATAATTATACTAAAAGTATAATTGTGTGTACACGCGCAACAAAATTTGAACTAAATTGTAACATAAAACACAATGGTATCTATACACATACATATATATATATATAGTTACCTTTTTCTTTCAAATCAAATGTCCAAAACATAGCACGCATACATAGGTAGTACATGTATCTAACAATAATCGAACTGTTTTCTCGTCTATCTTCTATAAGCTCTATCGATATTTGGTTTGAATTAAAATCTAGATTTGATATATTTTTTATTAGAACATCTGCTCAGATGGAGCAGCATGTGATTTTTCAAGTTGGTAGGTTTGCTGAAACCACGGCTACAAATGTGACATCTAAACGGCCACAATCCATTATGCACGTACATGTGGCTTTTTAAGTCGCCCGGTGTTGGGAATGACTTCGAACATTGCGAACATTTGTGTGGTTTTTCCTAGAAATATAACGAAAAATTTTTTTTAGTAGACGTAAAAGCAACGATCTTGATGGTGACGCGCGTTTTAAGTAAATATTCTATTAACAAATCTAATAAATCTCTATCTTTCTCTCAATATAATACACAATATATATACCGACATACATAGTTATCAGTACATTAGTTATATTGAAATGTATTATTTTGTGTGTTTAAAAAAAAAAAAAAATTTTCAATACAATATATTTATATACAAATAAACATATATTGTGTATTTATATATTTATTTACTATGTGTACTTTATTTTTTATTGTATTTTTCGAACAAGGGAAGAATTTTACTGTACTTTTTGTTTACTTGCGTAATAATCTTGACTGCATCCGCGCCGATAACTACGTGACGCGATTATGTGTGTGAATTCTTGCTATATATATATATATATATATACACGTATATATTTTATTAAGATATAATTTTATAAATTGGAATCCGCACACATATTTTTTAATTTTTAGATTGTTATACCAAATTCACTTTCTTTTTACTTTAATTACATACAGTTACCATGTGATTATTAATCATCATTGCGCCATCAATTTTTTTTTTTTCGGCGCACTGTCTTGCCAAATCAATTTTACAAGATCGACAGAAAAACGAAATTCAGAACGATTTTTTTATGAAAGAAGAAGAACAAAAATGGGAGAAGAAAAAAGAACGAAGACAGTGTAAGGCGGAAAGCGAAAATCAAAGCAAAACGACATATGCGGAGAGAGCAGCGGCGGAGAAGAGGGAGAAGACGAGAAAGAAGGAGTCGCAGAACGAGTGCAGGATATGTGCAGCAGCAACACAGGGAAGGATATAGAAGAGTGAGTAACGTGACGAAGTGCCTCCGGGTATGTTCTCTGTCTTTCTAATTGGATTGCATTCCATACGGTAGCAAGTAATGGGCCAATTACAGTAGCTGATGGCAGACCAACCTATATGGCTCCCGAGATATCATTACTTCGGGTAGAATTAGAGAATCTCATACGGTTTCCGCTGCGATAAATAAAACTTTTGCACTCTCCTCCCTCCCTCTCTCTCTCTCTCTCTCGCGCGCGCGCTCTTTCTCTCTCTCTTTCTCTTTGTACGTGTGTGTGTGTGTGTGTGTGAACGCGCATCTTTATCTTTCCCCTTCTCTTCCTTCGATCTTCTACGATCATCGTTCAGTTTTTTCTTTTTTTTTTTTATTGGATATTCCAGTTCTACCATGCTTACACGGAATATGAGAGGCAAAAACACGAAAACGCTTGACACTGTATGTAGAAATATCCACGTAGAAATAGTTTTGAGTAAACATATCCAAACTATTGAAATATATTGACAATACATCAACAAAAGATATGTTTTTATTGATATGTATTATTTCTTTTATTCTCGTTATTTTTGTTTTATAGACGGACACATGTCAGAGTTATTTCCAACCAATGTACAATAATATTTATAGCTCAAATTTTTAGTTAGATTTATGGGCAAAATATATATTCGTTCGTGGAATTTTACATTCAGATTCGGTGAGAGAGAACAAGAGAGGAAAAAACTTGAAAGAGTGTAATATGTGTGCGTATACTTCTGTGATAGATAAAACACGTATTATATATATATACATATATATATATATATATATATATATATATATATATGTATATCCTGGCAAAAATTTAAGCAACACAAGTGGTAAGTGTGAAAAAAAATACGTAACAAATACTCACCTTGATGTGAGTCATCCGATGATAGTAGAGATTCGATGAGGCTGTGAATTTCTTACCGCAGACAAGACATTGATGAGGTTTTTCGCCGCTGTGAATGCGCTTATGCGTGTTCAACGAGCTTGAAGTTGAGAAACCCTTGTTGCACACCATACATACATGCGGTTTTTCCCCTTCGATTTAATACCATACTTGAATTACTGCGTTAGCTCTTCGTTGTATAATTTCCACTTCGCGATTTATACGGTAAATAATGGCGCACATTTCCCTCCCTCTCTACTCCTTTTCTCACTCTCTTCTCTCTCTCTCTCTCTCTTCCTCTATTTTCTCTTTTCACCCCCTTAACTTTTTCCCTCCCTTTCCTTTCTTTTACTAAATTTGTGCTTATTAAAAAAAATAAACGAGAATTTTTTTGAAAGCCTCAAAATGTAAACTTTTCTTAAATGTACCTGTGTGCGTTCTCATGTGTCGTTTCAAAAGGGACGGCCGATCGAAGGATTTGCCACAGACTTCGCAAGGTAATAAAACCCTTTCTCCGCGCTTGATCGTCAGGATACTGCAATCGAGGTGATCGCTGGCCAGTGACAACATCGACGAAGAAGATTCCTCAGACGTCGATTCGTATTCGTCTACTTCGTAATAAGAGTGAGATAACGAAGGGAGAGAATGATGAGCCAGTAACGTCATCGATAAATCCAAGGGAGATTCTATGAAAGAAACGTGATTTTATAGGAAATTTCGCATAAATCGATTTCAGTCTGTCACTAAATAAGTTTATATTATATGTCTCTCTCTCTCTCTCTCTCTCTCTCTCTTTCTTTCACACACGCGCGCGCGCGCGCACTTACCATCCAAGATAGAGTCGATCGTGCACCTGTAGATAGCTGATCTGGAACACACATCGTGCGAGATGATAACGATATCCTGCTGTGTCGCTGGCAGGAACCAAGCCACCAGTTCAGTGTCTGGTTGAACATTCTTTATCACTTCAAATATAGGTTCGCCTATATTGAGAAAGAAATTTAAAAACTCCAAACATTTTATATATAAAATATTAAAATTCGTAAAAGAACAAAATATTTTATATGTAAAACACACACATATGTATGTTATATATATTATAATATATTATTATATACTATATATATATTATGTTTTTTTCACTTTTAAGTATAAATTTGTAATGTTGTAATGTGTGTGTACCACGTATACTATATTAAAAAAAAAGCGTAGAAAGCGAGAAACCATCAATTATTATTAGTTGAGTCATAAAATAAACTTACCTTTTACTTTTGTACCGATCAAATTGACTTGTTCGTTGTACGACTGAACGATGCGAAGGAATCTAATCCAATTACACTGACGTTTATTCAGATTGTAGTTGGAAAAAAAGACCTCGTCGTAACAACCGTATTCGCGTCTGATCTAAAAAAAAAAAACACCCGATATCACTTCGATCGTATAAGTTTTGAAACAAAAAAGAAAAATACAATTTTCTTTTACAAAAAAAAAAAAAAAAAAAGAGTAAAAGATAGAGAGAAAAAATGCTCCTCCCCGTGTAATACTTACATCGTTGTCATCGAGGAGGGAATAAAGATCGATCTTGTCGAATCTGATCGATCCTTGAAACGGGTAGATCAATGTACCCGACGGGATGAATACATTCGACCAAACCGAAATTCTCACATCTGTGACCAACGTACTCGAATCATTGTCAAAAAAATTCTTGTAGGACGACTGATCGTTGGTGAGGACCAAAGAGAATTCTTTAGGTATCAGAACGCAAGTTTCCATAACAGAGAACGAACAATATTTTGAGAGAATTCACTGTTTATCGGAGCGCGTATGCGAGTAATTTGTTTCAGAAATACATCTATGAATCTTGAAGCATATCAAAATACGGGTCTATATATAAAAGAACTTTTGAGATGCATCTACTATGTTTCGGCAAAACACAAGAGAACAGCGTCACAGATAGCTGTCTCAGATAGCGCGTAACGTGTGAAGAGTATTGCAAATAAATTTCAACACAACGAGACAAATTGACATCTGAGCTGAGGAATTGCGAATGTTTTGTGGAAGCAACAGAGCTTGATGAGAAATTTGCAAATAGCTGCTTTACACCTTTGTTGATCGAGTTAATTGTATGTTAATTCACAAGTTTTTACGCGCGTCGCAGACGTAAACTAACACGATATAGGAGAGCAAGAAGAAATGTAGAAAGACAGAATCGTACAAGGCCCTCGGCTGACTGGACAGGATTAACCGACTGATCTTGACCTTGCGACGGGTTACCAGCATTTGCTACCGAATGGTTAGCCCTTCCCCCTCCTAAAACCACCTTTTCCCACTCATCGTGAGCGTACCAAGTCCGGCCTTTTTCATCGGCGTAGTCAAGGAGTAGCCTTAGGATATTCAACTGGCCTCGACTGGCTTTCTCCGCTTCTCGTTCGTTTACCACGATCACTAACTACGATTTGTGCTTGACATGCATTATTGCTAAACAATATACGTATATCTCTCGACCGCGAACGAGATGCAAAAAATCCATGGCGCAAATATACACGTGTACCGAAAAGTCCGAGTTGTACGAAAATATTAATTACTTTTTCTTTCATAATGTTCTTTATATAAATGTGCGATTTCGCATGAACATGTAAACCTGGATGTAATAATCATGAAAGAAATTGTGATGATGTATCAACAGAAAGCCCTACGCCAGTGTCGCCCCACTACGTGCATTTGGCATGAGTGCAACTCAAGTGTAAAGCAAGTATCGGTCCGTTCAGCCGGCACAAGGAAGCCGGCCGGTCATCCTTCTCATCGTCTTCGCTGTTGTCGTTTTCTTTTCCTTCTTCTTCTTCTTCTTCTTCTTCTTCTTCTCCTTCTTCTTCTTCTTCTCCCACTCCTCTTCCTTCTCCCCCTCTTCTTCCACCAACTCTCGCGACAACACTTCAAAGAGAAACCCACGTGAGCGCGCACTTGTCGCTCTTTATCTTCTCTTTCCGTCTTTCCCGCGCTTCCACACACATCGCATCTCCTTTCCTTTCCTTTCCTTTACTTCTCTTCGCACTCCTCTACCCCGTCTCTCTCTCTTACTCCATCTCTTTCTTTCCTCCTTCTTATATCTCGTCCTTTCTACTACTTCCAGCAAATAGCCTCCATCATCCCTTTTGCTCTATTTTTTTTCTTGCTTTTTCTTCGGGCTTGCTACCTATGCTACCTCTCTACCAACCCACTCCAAGCAGCCTTTCTCCCCGTCGAATTTTTTTTTTTTTTTTTTTTTTTTCTTATTTCTTTGCTCTACAGAACGAATCTTCCAGTTTTCGGGGCTCTCAGAAGACACCCGAGTTTGCTATTGCTAGTGTTTTAACTTTAAGGCGTGATTCGGAGTTTTTTATTACATCGTTTCAATTTCAACTTCACATAAAGTAATGATTTAACAATTAAATATATTTTAAAAACTAATAAACATTTACTCACATCAACAAAATGCTTATGATCACATTCGGTTTATCAAAATTATCTATCAAGTTGCAAACGTTGATTTAATCTCATCTCATAGCCGGTGTTATAATATGATTTTATCTCGAACTCTCGTGCAATTGTTTACTTTAGGATTAAGCGTTTTTATTTTCTGTGTGTTGCGATATCAGTGATATTGTATTTGGCTGCTTTTCCGTTGCAGATTTCTTGCCGCGTGTCTTCTCATTTTTCTTAATTACATTAACTTTTAAGCCTTCTCGAAACCTTACGCGGCAGATATAAAACACATGTTAAGAGTTATACGTACCGCAACAAAGAAACATTTTGTATGTGTGACGTTTTACCTGATATAAAGTACGGAAATTACAATAACGCAGCAGATCAAAAACAAAACCACAGCCAACGCTGAATAAGCAACGAATTCTTCGCTTGGCATCCATCCAAAAATTGGTCGTGTTAATTTATCCTCCATTAAGTGAGTACGCCAGTTTGGAGGCTCGAGAACTTTGAGAGATGAGACGTTAAATCGCACACAAACATAAACACATTTAAAAATCATAAATTTCAAGTCTGCGATTTGTGACTTTTTTTATCGCTTATATTAATTAAAAAAAAAAAACTGCTCTACAACTTTCTCGTCATTTTTGTCATCAGAATTTTCACACGTACATATGCACACACATTTACCTTTGACAGATATTATATTCGTTGTCCATTTAAAATTCAGATCAGTTTGTTCAACGATGCATTTCCACACGCCAGCGTGAGATTTATTTACAGCTGGAACGTGATCGACATTTGCGGCTATGGGTAAAGTAAAGCTATAATCTTTCCACAGCTTGCTGTCGATCGTCCAGTAAATTTTCAGATCCGAATATACGTAGCCGAGTATGGCGCAATGGCATATTACGTGCATGGAAAGAGTTTCGCGAATTACAACATTTTCCGTCGCTGGAATTACCGCCAATGTCAGCACTCCAATTATCATATACGTTCCGTCTGTTCGATGCACAGTAAGTGTGTACACACCCGAGTCGTTTAATATTGCTCTACTTATTACTGAAAAACATTAACAATCTTATCTCTTTCTCTTTTTTGTGTAAAAATCAATATATACTTATTTTATATAATATTAACATACTGATTTTATAATCTCTTATCTCTAATCTGAGCTGTTCTTCCTGAAGAAATATTCCATTATGAGACCATTGTATCTCCAACTCAGGCGACTCAGCTTTGATGGAATTCACAATATTCAGATTTGAAAAGAGCGATATCGACTCGTGCTCGTTTACAGTAAGAGCAGTGTAATTTTGTCCAATTTCTCTTTTAATTAAAGTTATAGTATCTGTGTGTAAAACATGAGAATAAAATGTAAAACAAAACGAACGAACAAATGAAAAAAATGTACAATGTGATGTTAAATTGGTAGAAAACTGTGGGAACTTTATCTCATTTTATGTTCGATATGTAAATTATCGGTATTTTACTTACCACTGGTTATATCACCACAAGGAATCGTGTTGCAACGACCCGTCACGCTACCGGGTCCTGTACAAGGTTCACCCCTCACGTTAGGTTCCGGTGAATTGCATTGTCGTTTCCTGGTTCCTACACCACCGTTGCAACTGGCGCTGCATGTCCAAGGACCCCATTCTGACCATCCGCCGTCCAAAGGGGGACCGTCTATGTCTGGGCGCGTTGTCAAATAAACAACGCAAATGTGATGCAAAGTGTAAATAAGCGATACAAAAATATTACTTAAAAAAAAATGTAATATTTTTAATGTCATTGGAAAGTATATACTTTCTTTTTTTACATTTACTCGGAGAGTTTTTACCTGATGGCACGCAATTAGCGCTCCAGGTTGCCCAGCTTCCGGGGTCCACGGCGAGCGAAAAGAAATAAAAAACGAGCGGTTGTCGATGCACGTAATAGAACACGTTTGTTTCATTGCAGAATAATTGAATTGTATTTTCGGACCATCTTTTCGTCGCAAACAAAACAAAGGATACAGAATGACAAGTGCGAGTGCGTTAATTGTGAACAATTGGAACGATAGGCGTGAAATGTCAAAACGCGTTGGATTACCTTATGGTGATATTCGTCCAGGACTCGGTGAAGAATATGGGCTTGCGTGCTTTTTGTTTGTGATAAACTTTTACGTTGGGATACGTGTTTTTCAGAAAATAGATCCACTGACCGCGCTCGCCGAGTGTGAGTACGTAAAACCTGCCGAGTGCACATTACACAACACGTTACAAGTCGAATAACGTCGATAAACGTTAAGTGTTTAAGTCACGTTTTGGAAAGCAAAACTTTTTTGTTTTGTTACCCCGGGGTTGCGGGCAGCAGAAGTAACGGTATTAGAACAACACCCTTGGCGCGTATCATCAGCGTTAATTTGTCGGGTTTGACTGTTTCTTGTTTCGACCACGTAGACAACGGCAATATTCTGGTGTAGCGATCGGTTTGCGTGTTCTCTATATGACATCCTGTACATATGACGGAACGCAAATGTCACAAAAAAGGAGAGCGGAAGAAAACAAACAATTGACGTGACAAAGGAAAATTCCGCAAATATTGGTTTGGAGTAGCAAATTTATAATACTTGAAGCGCAATCGAAAGCCACTCCTATCGCGTGTCCTTTTTCGCTGTTGTAATAATAGTAAACCGGCAAGAAGGCTTTGGCCGGTTCGGGATGTTCCCATTCGAACAACGGATTTGACGCTCCTTCGTAATAAACGAGAACGCGGCCTCGCGGCAAGCGAATTACAAAACTGCTCCATTTGCCGAGGTACAACAAATGCGGCAGTGTTTTTTTCTTTACTAAAATTATGTCTGAGAAGATAGAAAAATCAAACGATTAAAAATAAAACACACGAGTCGAGTGACGACACGCATCATCGACACGTACCATTCGTTTCCGATTGATAATAGAGAAGTACTTTCTCGTTGTCTAACGCTCCGAGTTTAAGAATGTATCGAGATCTGAATCCGTCATCGGCGGTGAACACGAACGTTATAGAGTCCGGCTGATCCGGTTCCCATGCTTTCAATGAAAAATGCAAACCCTCCGAACGATATTCCGGTAAAACGTACAAACGTCGTCCGATACCGTATCCCTTTACGAAAAATGTACATTCCTCTGCAATAAATTTTAAATTTTATCAAAATGACAAATGATCGATTTGCGCGCGCGCGCGCACGCACACACAATTGTTCTCACCTGGCCTCTCGCAATCCCTTACGTCGCAAAGATCCTGCGGCACCTGCGGATCCGTCGTGTAGCACCACGTACCGGCGATATTGCGCGAGGGATTTCTGCAATAATTGCTGGCATTTTGCACACTGCGTTCGGGATAAAGACTGGAATTCAGATACGCCGGATCAACGATGTTGCTACCGATAAGTTTGCGAATGGATCTTGACGGCGATGGCAAATTCGAAAACGATTCGAATAAAATATCGCGTTCCGTCGAAGAACTTTTCCAGCGAGACTGGACGACGCGAGTCATCCGTTTGGGAAGTCTAGAGGAGAATTTTATTTCCGATTCCGACGTATTTCGCTCTTGCATTTTCTTTAGACCGTCACTCAGCCATTTTCTGCAGGTCCGACCCGAACGAGTGACCGACAAGGTGCCGATGTAGTCGTTAGCTGTCCCTGCCATTCGGCATTCTATTAAAACAAAAAACGCAACAATAGGAAGTAAATAGAAAAAAAATCAAAAGACTCAAACGTTCAACAAAAGGAAGAGAAGACAAAAAATGTTCGATATTAGTCGGAGTGGATGTACTTGATTTGACGTTAATGTAAAATTATTTTACGTAAACGATTATAAAAATATCAACGTAAATACCTGACGATCTGCAAATTCGCACAGGACAAGATTGTTTTGCAACGCTGGTGACGTGCGGATCGGCAGTCGCGTAGCAATAAGGACCGTTAGGATCATGACTTGGATTTCTACATCGATTTAAAGCTTCAATTATAGATTTATCGACAAAATTGTCGACTATCTTCTCATCTTGCGGTATCTAATTAGTAAACATGACACACGATGACAATATTTAAAAATATAAATTACACAATAAAATAACTTTTAGACTTTTTAAGATGTTGAGAGAGAGAGAGAGAGAGAGAGAGAGAGAAAGAGAGATAGATAAAAAGAAACCTCTTCTGCTATCCACGGCACACACGGAAGTTCTCCCGCACTCGTCCACTGAGTTCCTTGATATTGATATTCTGCAGTACTATGAATACAGTTTGGTGGTTGGGGATCCTCTATCACATTTGCTTCTATAATTTAAATTACAGAAATATTATACGTTAACACGCATCTTACATAGCTTTTATTATAAAAAACTTACCATCGGGTGGACAAAAAAATGTCCAGTGTGCTATTGTTTGATCGCTTCCAACGCTAAACCAACGCGCGGTAATCAGTCGATCGTGATTTGCGTGTAAGATCTCTTCGCTCCCGTATTCACGTTGCGAGAACAAACGCAAGTGCGTGCCAAAGATGCTGTAAATTTTGCTCACGCGTAAATAAAAAATTTGTTTACGAAATATCTCGAAAGAAATAGTTTTGATAAATAATTTTTTTTTTTTTTAGGCACATCACACGTCTACTAACCTGATCGTGAACTCTTTCCAATTCCAATAATCGAGCATTCTCTTAGTCGTGACTTCTTTCAAATATTGTTTCACCGATTTTTCAGTCTCTTCGTACAGCAAAGATGTGATATCATCGCGTGCAATTTCTAACTAAAAAGAATATATATCTATCGTCAAGCTTTCTCTCTCTTTTTCTTTCTCCTTTTTTGTATTGAATATTTATAGTTTTCGAATCGAATGATCGTCTGAAAATTAACTTAGTCTCTCACTGTGAAACAAGGAAATAACGTTCCGGGATTTTGATGGAATCGCATTATTACATTGCGACTAGCTCGAACGTAAAATCGAACGTCTTGCGTATTGTTAACGGTTTGCATCGGCCAAATGTGCAAAATCTCGTTTCCAAAACTTATGTGACTCTCACAATCTAAAACTCCGAAGAGAGGAATGTGAGAGAATTTAATGTAATAAAGTGACACAATTCACAGTTTTGCGCGAGAGACCGAATAAAGTTCACGCGCGTATGAATAGTTTTTTTTTACATTTTTGACACAGTTCTGTGCTCCATAAAACACCGGTTCCCGTGATGCCGTAGTAGAAAAAGCTGTCGGGATAAAGACTCGAAATGCCATCTTGCGTTTTATATTTTTCCATAATTAACGGCTTGGACACACCGTGAATCCCAAGAGATATGAAACCGTTAATCCACGTGATCCAAAACCCAGTCCATTTAGAACTGAGCAATATTCCAGGCGTATCTTCAAAAAGTTCATTCTAAAAACCCCAATGGATTTGTTCCATAAAAAACAAATACAAACAGACACGTTTTATGAAACGAGATGTTTTCTAGATAGACGCGTGTAATATAGTTTTTTTTTTATTTTTCTCTCAGCTTTAAAACTACGCACTAACATGAACAATCGGATACGTCATACCGCTGACGTTGTTCGAAATCAAAAATTCCACTCCAGCTTTCCAATCTTGAGCGATCATTTTAGCGGAAGACGGAATTGGAAGCAAACTTAATAAAATTCTCACTTCCGCCTGAATAGAAGCGATCACAAGTGTTTATTATTGCTCGCGCGTACAATACACCGCTATATTAGATGTGCGTGTATAATTATTTATGTACATTTTGTTCGTCCAGAGGATTCCAGAGTTTAATCCAAAAAGATATGTTCCCATTTGTGCCGCTTAATCCCGTTAACGTAACATACGCTGACGTATTTTGTGAATAAAGTAAACAGTCTAAGACAACATCTCTCACATAGTCAGATATTAAAAAACAAAAATGTTGCCTCGTGATAAAAATAAGTTTTGTAATAAAAAATCAATAGTCGATTCCAGTTTACAATATGCAATATTTAAAAGTAATATTGTTTTATTATATTGTCATTTGTTTACTTGTGAACATGCAAACCTTTATCGTCGCAAAATGAAACGTCGCAATATTCCTTCTCCACTCGCTCGTAACTCTTTTCTTCGACGTAACACCACGGGCCACCGGAATCGTCATTTGGATTTCTACAGAAATTACTCGCTTGTATCCGTGACCCGTCCGGAAAATGTTTATCGCGGAATTTGACGGTCTAAAATCAAAACGAAAGCAAAAACAATCAAAAGAGAGAATCATGGAGTAACTTTTTACATGTATAAAGTAGCCGAGATTTAATTTTCACAAGATACGTAAATTGTTTTTTTTTTTTTGATACGATAACACAAAACGAGAGATGTGCGTTTCTTACTTTTGTGTTGTCGAATTTGTATCTCTTATTCCAAGATTTACACTTTCGCTTTGAAGCGCTAAAACTACGATTGCCACCGTATTCGGCTCCTGGTCCCGTTATTACGCAATCTAATTGAACACACAATTGTAAAACATTTTTGATCCCCGATCTCTGTTACTGATATTTTGTTCTCAAATTTGTAATCAATTTGTTTGCAAATTGTTAACAATTTGCTGACTTGTAACTGTCTACCTCCGTAATTACATAATGGAATGTCGCATTCGTCATCGATAACCGTAGATTCTAACGTATAGCACCAAGGACCTCTTACATCTTTAGTGGGATTTCTGCAATAATTTTTGGCCAGTTTCATTGATTTTTCTGGGAAATTCCCGTCATTTATGTCAATCTAATTTCAAACGAAAAAATTGGAAATTTAATATGCAATAAAGGAGAAATACGCAAATAAAAATATTTTGTATCATAGTTTACGAAAAATAAACAAGAACATTTGTAAATTATTATTAAACTAACATTATGTGATTGTCGAGCAGTCCACAATTGGCAGCGAAAGCCACCAGCAGTTGTCGAAATGAAACCTCTGTATTCGGTCCCAAGTTGAGACAGTTTGCAATTGGATAAATCAATTCTCGACATATTGCGCTCTAGAAAATAATTAAAAAACAATGAATAAACTTTGTTAACTTACGCACAGAGATCAAGCAACGTCAATAAATACGGAGAAACATAATTTGTTGTAATACTGAGAATAAATAAATTAAATGATCAATATTAAAAAAAAAAACGTTCTTAAAAATATAAAACCTATGTTATTAGTGAATATAAAAAAAATCAAGTCATCGTGATTATTTAATTAACAAAAAATTTAGGTTTTTTTTGTATACATTATTCCTCAAAGTTTTTTTAAAAATATTTAATTTTTTTTTTAAATCTGCACAATGTTGTAAAAACAATTACAAACTAAAGTTTTATCTTCTAATTTAGAAGATTCTACTGATTGATCTAATTTTGGAAAATATTTATGTACGATTTTTTGTTACATTAAACCTGCAACAATTAAACTGGAAATCCACATTATGATGGGAAAACATTGTACGACACGCATCTTGATTCAAACTGACATATAATTATATCATAATTACAACTTCTCAGCTAGTGTTACTTTAAAAACTTTCGTAGTATTTTTTATAATAAATTATATATACCTGTGTACACACACATATCGTCGGACGCGATCGCAATTTTTTGTCGAACATAATTCAACTTCATACGCATTAAAGCTCGTATCAGTCTACGAATTAGAATTGAGAGATTAGATTTGACCAATCGGAACAACGAACCAATTACCAACCTTATAATTTACTTTTTTTCGTTCTGATTGATTACATTCCAATTTCATCTTAATCCAAATAGTTCGTTATACGAGCTTAAAGGTCTGTAACTGTTTCGACCAATGAGCATCTAACATACAGTCGCCATATTGATTTAAAGAGCATAAACGTAAAACATATGCAATGATGTCCGTGTTCCGCGATTCGATCACCGAAGTCGAGCGACGTTGAGAGCACGCGAACCTGGTATAGATAATGATCAAGACCTGTCGTGTATGTACATATATAGACGATTTTTCTTGAAGAATGACATGTGGGCTTTGTCTCACAATCCGCAATAATTAACGCATCAAAGTCTGATTCCTAAAAGTGTACACACAAGTTTATTTCTATCTGACTTTCCTAAGCACAAGAATGATGTATGGATCAACAGTTCTCCGGCCGCTCAGAAATCAAATCATACCAGTATAGAGGAACTACAAAAACACGTGGTTTTGTTTTTTAAATTTTAACTTACTTATTTCACACAAGGAATCTCCCATGGCAGTTTTGCATCGCGCCCTGTTTACGTGGTTTAATTTGCTCATATTCTTGATCCTCTTGGTCTTGAGACTGGATTCAAGAATAGAATGGAATTATTTTATTGTTTTTATACCAATGTGGATTTACGACAACATTCTTCTTATTTACATTATTTTCAACATGATCTCGCACTGTAAGAACAGACGTGTCAATAATTTACAGCGAGAGGTGAGATATACATATACTTGGTACACAATTTAAATATTATATTCAATAGGATATAATTCAGTATATAAAAATATTATTTCAAATCTGTTTGTGAGAAAGTTTAAACACATACAATTTAATATTGTGAGTATAATTTGTTTTTTCAATTGCTAGGCTATATTATCCAAACTGTCTAAACATTGGTAAAGATAGTGTCAAGATTTAAGATTTTAATGCGAGACAATGTGATATTGTTTCAGGCACGATACATGATAGCTGTGCTCCTGAAATTGTCTGCTCAAATCCTAATATGTCTAAAGTTGGAAGCACCTCAGTGGTCTCTTTCAGCCAAAATAGTACTAGCACCATTTTGGCTGCTTCTTCCATCATTAGGAATAGATGTTTTCATCCATTTGATACAACAATCTAGGTATTGAGGGATGGGACTATAAATACGCTATATTTCAGCTTAATTAAAATATGTATGTATGTTTTTGTTGCATTAATAAGAAGTTACACACTACTATGTGCCACTGAATACATATTGATAATGTTGTGAAATATGTATTAACAATATGTATGTAATTGTTAGTTTTCAATTTTTAATTTTTTAATTTTATTACTTTGGATTAATAAAATTTTTACATTTATTTAAGATTATATGAGAGAAATAGAGTGCCATTTTTTAGAATCAGCTTACATTATTAATATAAATTATAAATATTCTTTGTTGATTTTTTCTCATAAAGAAATAGTGTAAGTCAAAGAGTGACTTGTGATAGGATATGAGAACATATAAATCTCTTTTCTCACGTGCAATATAGAACTAGTCTGGTCTAAAAATACTTAGCATTACACAAGGCCAAATAGGACAGAGTCAAAAATAAGTAACTCCTTAGCAGAACTCAGTAATAAGTTCTTATCAGAGGAAATGAGTGTTTTTTGCTCCAAAATCACTAATTTATGCTGGTGCTGTTGTCAGTGAGTTTAGTTACAAAGAGAAGAACAATATAAAAGTAGCAAGCAAGTGTGTAGCAAGAAGTGCTTTTATGATTATACAACAGTCTATTTAAAATAGAGTCTTGTATTGTGCTTTGCACTGAATAATTATTGCAATAACCATCTGTGTAGAACAAACTGACTTCGCAGCATTAGCACCTGAGAAGAAGGTGATCAATGTAATTGTGTATTTATGTAGAATTGTAATTGTAATGGAAGAGAGGAAAATAGGCTAGTAAGTTCTCCGACAGTTTGCAAATATTAGTGGCAGAATATAGTACACACTTTTACGCGAGCATTTTTGTTATATTTTCTTGCAAATATTTCCATGTAATTAAATACGAATACACACACATATACATATACAGGTGTGTGTTATTTCTTTTTAATTCAATTACACACAAAGTGATGGAAATATTTGTTGTACGGTCAATCAACAGAATCATCTCTTATTCCAATCTAATTGTTTTACGCAATATTTATGCGCACAGTTTTTCTACATAAAATGACTTTTACAACAAATTTACACTTGTTGGACTAAATATTTGTAATATTGACTTTTAGGTGATAATGTGGTTTTTCATACTGTTTTTATCTTCCGTGTTAACTATACAAAACTCTGAAACTGCAAGTGATGTAACAGTAAAAGAAGTGTCAGCTGGACATTTGGCTGAACTTCCTTGCTTAAGCATTGACGAACATCATCGTTTTATGTTTTGGCAACTTGGAGATAATGATATTATTGGTCCAGGAAATCCTTTAAATGAAAAAAAATATAATTACGAAGTGTTGACTGGCTTGCTTCAAATCAGAGTAAGTAATAAAATAATATTTGTAATACACACATTCACATGACAGATTATATAAAACTATATGCAACACGTTTAGATATCTGTCAATATTATGTCAATTTATATATTTTATTATTTTTATAAAGGGGGTATCAACGTCAGAATCTGGATTTTACAAATGTTTTGCCAAAGATTTATTCGACGATTCCCGTCTTAAGATTCATTCGGTTGAATTAATAGTTAAGAATGACTGGGAGCAACTTTGGGAAACAGATTTTGAGGTATTTTAAGAAATAAAATAATTTAGTAAGTAATATTGCAATTTTACAATGCATTAAGATATATCTTTTGTTCAAGACAAATTTATTGAGAGGAATGGCTGCTGTTATGGTAGTGGTGGTTGCTATAGCTGTTGTTCTTTTGATCATTGTTGTTAAAAGAAAACGAAATCAGAGATTCTTTGGTAAGATTTTTTTTATAAAAAAAAAAAAAAAACAGAAAGATAGATTTTTTTACATAGAAAACGGATATTATACATGTAACTTATTTTGTACAGATCTAGAAGAGTCGAGAGAAAATTCACCAGCACGATACACGCCAAATAACGCACCCGGCGTTTCAGCAGACGTCGAGAATGCTGGAGTCGATAATGCTGCTCTTGACATTGATTTTCCTAAAGTGTTTAAACAAATGCAGAAATAACCATCGATGCCATAATGGTGTGTAATTATACAATAGAAAATAAATTTTGTGCTTTATACAAAATTATAATATGTTCTTAAGCGCGTCTGATAAATAAATATCGTTTCTTATTCTCAAATAACGTATCATTTCACAATCGATTATTCAATGTTTTATTACAGAATAATTTAATGTAAATTATGAGAAAGAATCTTTAGTCACACTTGAAAAGATATTAGAAATAAAGTTTCTTGTAATTTTTTTTTATATATTTGTGTGTATGTTACCTGCATATTAAATGTCTGTTCTATTTTCATTTCAACTGTTTTCTCGGTAATAATATTCTTGTACATTAGATCCTGCTGTCTCGGATCCTGCCGAAAAATGTGAACTAGGTGTGGTATCCATACTTTCCGAGAGTCGTCCTTGCTCCTCTTCTTCTTCCTCTTCCTCGTCCTCTGGTTCCGCTTCGGTTTCAAGTAATCGAATCTTTCTATTGTTTTCGCTCAAAATAGCAGCTACTTTTCGAGCGCCGCTAACCGCTAGACGTCTCGCGGATATTCCTTGAAATGATTTCGGCCATGATGCACCGAGGATATTAACTAAATTCACCGTATCTTCTTGATAATCGAAGGTAAGCACGTCATGCAACGGTACTTGTACAAGAGACGACGCATGAGTTTGTCTGTTCAATATAAGTAAGCTAAGATAATCTTGTGAGTAAAACTGCAGATCTACTATTATGACGTCAGTGGTTTCTTTTTGATATTCTCCTGAACACAAACGAAAAAGTTATCGAATTAAATTTATTTTGCGATAAAAGTGAAATATGTTGTTCAATGCATTAGTGTTCAGATCTATTCGAACTAGAAAATAAACGCCGCAGACTCAAAAGCGATTTGTTTGATTCCCGTCTCATGACACATGAAAGTGGTCAGAATTATTTGTTAGCTCAAGCGCGCGTTGTCTTCTAATCCGAATTAGACCTTGATTAATATTAAGTACAATTGACGCATCATCATCAATACCTTGTTTGTGATTTGCATCTATTGTAATCATCTTTGAACTGAGAGATGTGGGTTCTGTAGATAAACACTGAATATTGAAGAGTTTTAAAACATTGCTATTGGCGTTGCACATGGCCAACAAGAGATTTCCGTCGTTCGTAACAATTTGTGTCGACGTGAGAGATGCGAACGATGGCAAAGATATCGAAATCATCACAAAGTGATTGATCAAACCTTGATAAGCTTTAGCGAAAACATTGTCCACGGTAGCGACTAATTTCGCGTGAGATTGCAACAGAGATAATTGAAAATTCTGCTTTACTATGTGCTCGTAATCGCGCAGACATTCATTTGCGTCGAGCATAGCAGCCCATTCGCTTCCTTCCGAAGTCAGTTGAGTCTGCAGATTTTCTCGACGCAGATATTGTCCTAATTTCTCGAGATTTACAGCTACCCTGCAGTCCGTTCTTGGCGCGGTTTTGTCGAAACCATTCAAAAACTCGGCAATAAATGTCAACTCTTGCTGACTCACGCGGCTCACCTCCGACGGTACTCTTTCATCCGTCAACTGTAGGATAGCTACGTACAACCATCTATAAATGGAACAAAAAATTGTAAAACAATTAGACATAAGTACGATTTAATTATTTAGATTTGAGCTCACACATCTAGCGTACCGGAAAAATGCCTTGTAATTGCGCATACTCTGATCTATAACTTGCTCGATCTCGTAAGACTTAGCGAGGAAAGCTTCAGACTCGTTAATGGCGTTGGTTACTAGCATTTCATCGCGCAATCCTAATGCTTCATACGTGCCACCGACTCTCACCAGTCCTCTCAATTCAGCCAATTGATCGACCAAGGCCATACCCACGCTAGTTAAATTTTTAGAAACTAATTTCTGCAGAATTATATAATATTTTTATATTCAAACAGATTCACGAGATATGCAGAAGCAATATTTTAAAGCAATATATAAATTTTTCTCTAATACCTGTATGTTACTGTAACACATTTCAATACTGTGTCCAAATTTTTTCAATCCCTTCTCTGTAAGATCTCGAAGTAGAAAATTCTCTAAATTTTTCGTCGGTATTCCGATCATCAATAGCTCCAAGAAATCCGCGGACATACTGCCGGGTGGATTCATTTCTGCGTATCGCGTAAGTTTTTCATCCATTTCCAAAAGTATCGTCTCCCAAGCTTCGGAAGTAGCCATTAAAGTGCGCGAGAGATAATCTTTTAAACATTCCACATTGGCCTGAATTTGCGCAACCTATATGAAAAATTCAGTTAAATATATATTAATATACTTTCTTCCTGATACGAATATTTTAAACCGCGTAATACTTTAAATAACACATAGTGCTGTCTTGCTAAAATCTTTGCTTGTGAGTGTGATTGCAAGATATTTCACATATAGCTTTATTTATACGTAAGAAACCTTGAAAAATGCTGTATTTTTTTCGAGCAGTGGACAAGATAGTCTAGTTGTCATGATATAGCTGTCGTCCTTCCATGTGATCCAAATTGGATCACCAGCTCCACCCGTAATCTGTAAAATTGCTCCGTGGCCCACATTTATGACGCCGCAGTAAAACATACCAAAAATGTACATCAATATCGTACCATTCTTTTGACCAATCTAAAAATACACACGTGTATATTTATATACATAATTATAAATATTATTTATAGTATGTATATCACATCAGTTATAAAATTATCGTTTATATTTTTTGACACATACGAATAACATATCCAGTGTGTGAGATAAAAATTCTTTGCGTTCAGGTTCTGCATTATAACTTCTGATTAAACTGGGCAGGGACGGCAGATAATCACCTGTAGGTTTGTTAATCTTGTCATTTAAACTTTCGTGATCGGCGTTAGACAGTGACAACCACTTAACACAGCTAATTGAGTCGTTTGTTGGCAATTTAGTTTTGTGAATAATATTTTTGGTTTCGACATCAACGAGACAGAGAAATCTAGATATCTCGTAACATACTGCGAGAAGTTTTCCATCAGGTCTCCATGCCAGATCGGCAATGGTATCGGATTCATCTTGTGGACTTAACAACCACACTTTTTGCCACGTGAGTCTATGAAGATTGACCTCACCTGTACAGATTTATGTTTATAAATAAATTATTGTTAAACTTTTATAAAACAAGACTGATTTTTGTGAACATGAAATAAAATTATTTCTCTTTCTTTCTCTAAAATTAAAATTTGAAATTCCAATTGGTTGATGTTAACTTTAGTTAACATTAATATTTACAGATGCAAAGATCTTAAAGCGCCGGCTTCTATGAACTCTAACCTTTTATATTACTGACTGCTAAAAGATCCATTTTTGGTGACCACAGCATTGTTGTCACTTCTGTTGGAAGTTGACGTTCTTCTAGTTGTCGTATGGTACCAGCCATTTTTCGAAATTTCTTTTAATAAACGTATTGTTTTTCTAAGACAAACTCTTTCGAGTTAATCATGTCAACAATAACAAAACGGAACAGATGCTTTGTGAGAATCGTGGTGAGGCAAATGACACTTGGTTCAAAAGTGGAGAAAGTGCAGCATGAGAACTTCACACATATATACAATACATACTTGGAATATGTATGTATGTATATACGCTCGAAATTTGAAATTGATATGATATTAAGATCGTAAAATTCATTGCACACACATACAATTCATTTTAACTGCGAAATAGAAAATTCTATACTTTTTTCTACATTTTATAAGTAAATATATTATTTGAAAAAAACAAACACACGTAAAATATTTCATGTATTACATGAAAAAACATCAGATCTGTGATACAGGCTATAGGACAATAACGCAAGGTAACAAAATTTGAGAATACGAAAAATAACCTATATAAATATTTAATCAACTTATCTCTCATTCATCCTAACAATAAACAAAATCATGTACAGTCATTTTACGTTTAACAATATTTACTATATGTAAATATATTAAATAAATATATGATTTACGTAAAAAAGAAGATACTAGATATTTGGAATCATTTTGTAACATTTGTTTGCAAAAATAGTTGTTACATAATGCATTGATGACAAACGATATTGACTGTTGTACAAGTATTATTTATTCGTCGCGAGCAATAAGTCGATTAGTTTCAGGTTGAAGAAATTCAGTGACGATAGCCGACACCATCTCGGTGAGAATGATTTTTAATTTCTCCAAATCCCTAAAATCATATGTTACATTTTAAAATACTATGATAAATATTTATCTTTTATCGTTATAAAATAACAAAATATATATGAAAATAATATTTTTTAATAGTTTTAAAATGTTAGAGAGAGTAAAAGAACTTACGACAGAATATTTTATAATGATCAAAAGAGATAAAGACGAATAAAAATATTCTTGTAAATAGTATTTGCAGAAATCTTACTCTCCAGGTAATCCACATAATTCATTGTAGTATTTTATTTTAGGTTCTGTGCCGCTTGTTCTTAAAGTCGTAACCAATCCGTTTTCAAATATGAATGTAATCATTTGTGTGGACTTTGATACAGGTAGAACTGCTTTATTGTCTGGTTTTGTATTATCGTATCCAGTAGTCAAGTCTCGAATACCAGTTATTATATATTTTCCGCCTAGAATTCCGGTTGGGTACTGCAATTAAACCAATCCAAACTGAGACTGTAATTTAATTACATAACAATAGTTATCTCTTATAATCGAAATCAAACAATTTTCAAATATATTTTTGCACACAAAAAAAATCTCTTTCTTTAAAATATAACAAAATAAAAAGATAAAACAATCGAAGTTATAGTTTTACTTTGAAACAATTGACACTAATATCCAACACTTGATGCGATAATTTTAAGAAATCTTGCTTATTTGATGTATACTTACATCAAATTTGTGTTTTTTATTCTTCTGCAAGAAATGGCGTTAGGTGATACAAGGACTGTATCATTGGTGTAATTAAAATCACAAGAAGAAGAGAAGGCAAAAGAGTCAAAGATGGTACAACTATATTTACATATTTTTTGCGCGCTTTGTTCTTTGTCATCTTGATAACTATTTTAAAAGAGACACGAAAGAAACCTACAATACGAGATTATTACGCGAATATTTAATAAATTGTTAAATATTTTGTTAATTGTTAAATATTGTAATGAAATAATTTGTTTGTGTTATTGACACATCACACATTATTTAGTGCGCAATACAATTAAATAAGATAATTTATACTTTATACCTTAACACACTTGAGTTTACTGTACATAATGCACTATCCCTAATAGGCAAATTGTGAAAATATTGCACAAAAATGGCATCATGAATAACGACGATCCTGCAATGATTGCACTAAGATGATTCGCAACAGTTTTGTCGAAATAAAATTTTGTAAATAATATTTGTCAAAAATTGCGAAAAAGTCGTTATGCATTTCCATAAGTATATACACGAATTAAGTTGATTTCTTCATACGCAATTATATTTCTACATATTTTAAACATCACATAGCTGAAATTTTTTTCTCAATTATTGAACAATTCTTTTTTGAAATTAATTTTGCAAATATACTGCTAAGATGATTCGCCATATCGTTATTCTTTTGCCGAAATAGTATTTGGAAAGTAATTTTGCAAACAACTACAAACATTTTATAAGAGATCAATGTTTTTCTATTTCCTAAAATATATCTGTATAATTGCAAATTAAAATTTTAGTGCAAGATTTTGTCACATAACTTTGTAAATGTTTTCCTATCAGGGATAATGTATGTACAGATGTATGTAAGTTCAGAATTCAAACAAGAACACTTTTCAAAACAACTCTTTTTATCTTTCTTCTAATAGTATACCGCACTATTTTTTATATTATATTTGTTTTTAGTCTAACAATACAATGATGCGACTGTCACCTGTGAGATTACACGTACAAATATTGGCGATTATGCTTTCAGACTGGTTAGGTAGTTTATGCTACCTCATGCGTTACATATAGCTGTATATACTTGCATACATATATATTTATATACATATATATATACATTAACTTTGCATAATACATGCCACTAAATGGAAATTGTATACAGCAGCTGCTGACGTAAGCGTTATTATACGCATACGTCCGAGAGATAATATGTACACACTTGTACGTATTAATATTTATATTTACATATTAAAAGAGCGTTAGAAGTATAAAATATAATATATTGACGTTTACGCGATCACATATACAATCTTACAAATAAAAAAGTTCTTTTTTTCTTAAATAAGTCTGATTGTAAAAGAAAAGTGTGCGATATTGTTTAAAAAATTAATAGAAAAACATTTAACACGCAAGTGTTGTTTTTCTAAATATTGAAATAGGGAATTGTTTTTTTTTTTTTTTTTTTTTTTCACAAAATATTAGAACAATTCGATGATACTTACAGTACACGATTTGCCAGAATAATTTCTCAATCGTTCAAATATAGCTTTGATTGTGTCCGGATCGTGACATATCCAGTAAGAATTATCACTGATATGATGTCCATATCTGTGTTAATAAAAAAAATTTTTTAATTTTTTGAAATATAAAATAAAAGTATAATACACAACTTAAGAGCTTACTCTTCATATATCTCCTGTAACTTATCAGATAAACTCAATCCCACAGTTTCGAGATACGCCGCTAATTCAGCTACACGTATACCAGCACTAATGCCATCTTTATCTAGAACCTTAGAACCACACATGAAACCTATAGCTTCTTCATATGCAAACAAGACTTCTTTGTTTTCTTTGATTAGATCTATAGCTCTGTTACCCATCCATTTAAAGCCTGTTAAAGTCTCCTTCAAAAACCAATATCTTTATTAGACTCCAAATTTATTTTGTTTTTTTTTTTTTAATGCACGTACACGCACAGCGTGTACATGCGTATATATAAACCTCAAACCTCGAAATTAAAACCTTCTTTCTTAGCCATCGATGCTAGAATTTTACTGGAAACCGTTGATGCAAACATATATGTGTTATTCATATTAGCAGCAGGATGCAGCACTTGGTAAGTGTGTATCATCCACCAACCCAATAATGCGCCAAGTTCATTTCCAGAAAAGACATGCCATTCTCCACTACGCAACCCAAATATATTTCTGTTATTCATTATTATTAAAAAAAAAAAAACAAATTTATACAGACTATAAGATCACGAACCTTTTTGTCTTTATCGCGCATGCAAGTCTATCAGCATCAGGATCATTAGCAAGTATTATAGAAGAATCACTTTTATTTGCTAGTTTTATGCTAAGGTCAAGAGCGCTTTTTCCCTCTTCTGGATTTGGAAACTTTACTGTAGAAAAATCTGGATCTGGTAGTTTTTGTTCCTCCACAGTTATAAATGGCTAAAGTGTGTGTAAATATGATAGATATTTGTCTAAAACAATCCACAAATATTCCTCAACACAGTATGTAAAAAGATGTTACCTTAAAGTTTGCTGCTTCAAAAGCAGCAACCATGTATTCATATCCAACACCATGCATGGGAGTATATGTGAAAGTAAGCGTGGTATTTCTATTAACTTCAGGATATAAAACATTCTCTTTCAAGTCTTTATAATATTCTTGAATAATATCTTTTGGATCTTGATAATAAGGACTTTCATAGATCTTGCTTGTGTCCCATGAAGATTCAAGCGGTTCGAGATTATTAAGAATGTAATTTTGAATCTTTTTATCATGTGGCGTAATAATCTGAGCTCCATTTTGCCAGTAAACTTTGTAACCATTGTCATCTTTTGGATTATGAGAGGCAGTGATCATGATACCAGCCGCACACTTGTATTTTACTATAGTGTAGGGTATAAATGGTGTAGGACAAACTTTGGAAAATAAATACACTTTAATACCATTGGCTATAAAAATTGCAGCAGTTAATTCTGCAAATCTAAAAGAAAACTTAATTAGTGGTGATTTTTTTTTACTCTTATGACATAAATTATTATTATAAATAATTTCTACTTTTTGCTGTTATAACGACCGTCGTATCCTATCACAACACCTTTTTGTGTAACATCAAAAATTGTATCCATCAAATATTTTGTTAATCCTTGACTGGTTTGCACAATGACCAAGTCATTCATTTGACTATAACCTGGTCCCATTCGACCTCTAAGACCAGCAGTTCCAAATTCAAGTCTTTTAAGAAACAAATTGGATAATATTTTAATATTGTCATTACTTAAGTAATCAAGTATCTTATCTTCTGCTTTCGGATCCTATGTACAGTGTGTAACAGAAAAATTATTCATCAAAATCTCATTACAAAATATATAAATCATCACATATGTCAAGTAATATTTAGTAAAAATAATATTTATATAATATATATAAATATTATTTTTACAAATATCATATTACCTTATTCCATTGTAACCATTCGATGATCTTGGCGTCTAAATTACTGTCTCCGGTATTTACTGAATGTCGCAGGGCCATAATTCACGAGGTGAATTTGCGATTTATAACGTGCAAAACTTGAAATAACGTTATTCAATAGAATAGTACTCGCATCAGAATAAATTGTTTTTTATACATAAACAATCTCTTAATAATAATTCAATTCATATATCCAACACAAGTCTCTTTTTTTCCGCAAATTCTCTGCAATATATATATATACGTATAATAAGTGTACATATCATCTGAGAAGATTTAGAAAGATCCGCGCTATCTCACTTTCTCTGATAACTTTATTTGAATATTTAATACAAATACACACACATACATGATGATGTAATGACGGATTCATGAGATCTTTCGCGCACGTACACCTCCTCATCTGTTTGTTTGGCACGCGCGTTGACACTTGTGACTTGTGACAGAGAGAAAAAACGACTTCTCTCTCCTCTGAATTGAAGTTTCAATATTCCTATCCAGATGGCGGATGCGTTTTGTGTTCGAAAAGTGTTTTTATCTACGCCAAATGAGATGGCGCGTCAACTCATTTCGATTGATCTCGTCGATTTCGATACTTCGAGCTTTCAACATGAACTCTCGGACCCTTTGTAGAAAACAAATGTGTGGGTGTCAAAATTGAAAATTTTTGTTTTTTTATCGAAAAATATCCCAATGGAAATAATGGAATGGGAATACAATGGCAGAAGCAACAACTTTTGGCGCGCACATTGTTTTCCACAAAGAGTCTTCGCTAATTTTTTTTCTCACAATAATAGACACAGTTTCTGCGAGTGGTCGATTTTCTCAAGATTACGTTTGAAATTTGATCGCTTTCAAAAACCTTCGGATTTTTTATTCTTTGAATTGTAACATTTTTCTTGTCTTACAAGGAAAATACTGTAAGGTACAGGTACGTGTAAATATATTGAATTAAGTTACAATGTAATTTTATTTTGTTAAATTATTGAGAGACAAAATTACATATGTTACACGCAGTCTTTTTCCGAAACGAATTTAATCAAGCCACAATGCGTATATCCGAGCAAGTTTTGAATGTTTCCTGATGTCCGCAACCCATTTTGCCCTTTCCATCTTCGCACACGCCCCAGTTGTTTCCGGCAACATATTCCCATCTAAAAATAATTTTAATATCTCTGAAGACAATCGTGTTTGTTACAAATTATACAATCCATATATATGTTACACATTAATTTCAAAATACAGATTGATTTTGTTGTTCAATCATCATCATCTTCATATAAATTTTGTTTCGCAGTCTCAAGTGTTCTACATCCCTAAGCGACGTGTGTAGATCTTCTTTACCTGAGAACACAGTGCTCGCAAGTAAGATCCGGAGGTAGAATGCCAGTGATCGTGTAATCTCCGCTGTCGGTGCTGGGTAGCACGTATTTGTAGCTGCCGTTCGACAACTTAAGCGGATACTTGGCGAAGCACTCCTCGGTTTCCGCGCCATTGTTTTCGCTCAGAGGGCAAATAAAGAATTGCACGTGACCCTTGTGATTTACGGTAATTCTGGCCACTAACTCGATCTCATCTCCCGCTTTGTAGCTGTAAAAAAACACGCGGAGCATGTGCATCTCTTATATCAAAAAAAGATTACGCTCAAGTATAGTATACAAGCACGAGAAATGTCTCTTCGAAATAATGCATAAATCAATTTACGTTTTCACGATAGTGCCAGTTCCGTATTCTCCGCCGTGTTCATTTGGCCTGGGCGGCGGCAAGGAAAAGTCATCGCCGCAGAGGCCGCATTTGCCATTTCGTATGTGTACCTATGCGTAATTACATTAATTGATTGAGAACAATTGTCACATGTATATTTATATATATTTTAAAATAAATTTGACAATTTTTCAGATTATTTTGTATTTTTTCATCTGGTGCAGAGAGAGAGAGACTTACAAATAAACCGCCGCAGTAGTTGCCGTCGTCGTCGTAATTGCGGGGTGTGTTGAATCCTTTTCTCCAAGCGCTTCCTCTGTTCACGGGTTCCATGAGCATCCCATGTCCGCAGGTCTCCTTGAGATAAAAGATCGTCAGGGCGCAAACGAGCAACAGCTTAGCGTGGGCCATGGTAACAAAATCCGATCGTCGTCTTCAATTTTCGTACTAACCCTCGGGTTAAACGTTAAGGTCAAATGGAACCTCTTAGCCGAAATTACTTGCTTTTATAACAGCGTTGTTTATCAAATGATAAGGATTTAATACAATTACGGATTTTTTTTTTAATAAGAAGATGAGCGACGTTTTAAAGCGATATATCGCAAGAACATCTTCGGCTCATTTGTCGCGGGACCTTGATTCCCTTACGCTTCATTTATCAATTGCACGATCGTATTGTGATTGCGCATCACACGCAGATAATAAAATATAATTATTATCTACTTGATGCGCGCCAGATGTAGACATCAAAACCAGTCTCCGATAATTCGAAACATTATCTTGCCATTAAAAAACTGTGAATTGTCTGAAAATACATTTGTTGACTTTTTATTTTGAACATCTGTTCTCTTTTACGCGGTTTGCGCTCCGGTTCGATTTTCGTGCGTAAAGTTTCGGCTTTCGTTCGATATGTGACGTCGTGTCTTGTTTATAAAAGTCTTTCTTCGTCAAAGTGTAAAAACAAAAGCGTAGATATAACAACTGAAAAAAAAATGTAAATCACTCAAACAATTATGATGATATTAATGTACAATATTAATATTTTCGATTACACACATGGAGAAACGACAAAAAAAAACATCAAGTTAAAAGTAACATTTTTGAATATATTTATTTATTTTTATTTTACATCGTACGAATCAGCGTACATTGAAATAAAATCGATATCTTTTATAATAAATAAATATTATACATAAATACTTAAAATTTTTTAAATGGAAATCATCGGTCTTGATAGTTCCGGATAATTCCGGTGGCGCTAGAAATGTCTGATCACTCGGAATAGATAGAGGTTTGCTGGTCTCTTGACGTTCCGTACACCAGTAAAGTGTTTGTGGAATTCATAGAATTTATCTTTATTATATGTCATTATCTGTGTGTGGCAGACGATACGCGTATTGCGTCGGATTTTCTCGAACGGGAATCTCCTTGTTTATGGGATTTTGTCGAATGCGAATAGGACAATTTTTGTTGAAGCGTCTTTAATTTCGTCGGGATAATGGAAAAGCAGCCGTTAAAAGCATCCGATAAACCGCCGCCCTACTCAGTTGCAGTAGGTTCTGTTCCTACGTCCGCAAGTACGTTTGTGTGTAGACCAGGTTAAATTTCAAATTAGATATCGTTTAAAAAGTTGGCGTTTCTTTTTTTTCGTACGGTGATGTCTTACACTTGACATCGTGGCACGGCAACTGCTCATTAATGATTTCTGAATATAAACATTGTCTACAATCTGATGTTTTAATCGCAGTTTAATCAATGATTTAATCAATTTTTCAAACGAAAAATTGATCGATTGCACAATCGTGCGATTTTACAATTGCAGAACAAAAAACAATGTTTATATTCTAGCGTTACTATAAATTATTGAAAAAGTTTGTTAATAATTTTATGCAATTTACTGTATCAAGGTGCACCCAATGTGGAATACACATCGTGGCAGCCACCTCCCGGGTATTATCCTAATAACGCTAACAATGCTGGAACTCACATCCCGTCATATGGTTCTACACAACAGTCTACAACTGTTATCGTTCCGGAAATTATCATAGTTGGCGCCTGTCCTGCCTGCAGAGTACGCAATATAGTTTTTACTCATTTGTGTTATCTTTTTCCATGTTTCACTGAAAAGTGATTTCTAATAATTTAAATTTGTACAAAATACAGGTAGGAGTGATGGAAGATGATTATTCATGCCTCGGCCTGCTCTGTGCGATTCTCTTCTTTCCCGTTGGGATTCTTTGTTGTTTGCTGATGAAGACGAGACGTTGCTCAAATTGTGGAGCCTACTTCGGTTGAGTTACTGGAAGAGCAAGTACTGCTTTCAAAGTGCATATCAAGAATTACCTCTTGAGTAAATGACAGAAAAAGTGACATTAAAAAAAACAATGAATAGAAGGCATGATAAGAAACGCGTTTGAAATAAAATTATTTTTATAGAACAGTTGTAAACCCCGTGAGTATAAAAAAGCGTTTAAGATTAGATAGAAAAATAGGAACCAAACTCTGATCTTTTATAAGATGTAATAGTTCGAAATAGGAGCGTAAGTTTATACACAATGTTGCTTGTTTTAAAACAAATGTTTGTTAAATGTAGTCACTTGTATTTTTTTTTGTTTTTTTTTTTTTTGTTTTTTTTAAGTAATTGAGATTCTATTTGTTTCCGTGACAATATGTAACATGCCTTGTCAGTAATTTGTAAAATGTTAAATTTTAGAATATTACAAATAATATTTTTCTATATCTGTAAGTAAACAGATATTTATATCCGTAGATACCTCTACATGTGCGTATATAAAATTTCTGGTTTACTATGTATTCTCAGGAATAAAAACTGTAAATACAACGAAATAAGATGAGAGAAGAAAGAATATCAATAGAAATTGTTAGTTTTAACTTTTTAATTTTAAACTTTTTCATGATCGAGATTATCTCACTTCTCTTGTGATTATTCTTGTTACATTGATAAACTGATTAAATATAATGTATTGTCTATGTTTTTATAAACAATTTCAGAGAAAGTGACTCGTGCCGTACATACGTCATCCATAGTCAACAATCGAAAAACTTTTAAATTTAAATTTTTAGTTCGTTAAATTTTTTTGACCCTAATTAATACAGTAAATAGTAATATTTTAATGTTTATATACACATCTACATATAATTTTTCTTAATTTGTTGGTTGCTCGATATTATCTTTTTTTTTTTTTCACATGAAAGCGTGTGACAGGTATAACTTTAAGAGAGAAACAAATGGAATGCACAACAACCAATGGAACAATATCTTACTGTACACTTTTGGCATTATTCCATTTAACACACACACATCATATTACATTAATTTTATATTAATGAATATCTTCTGGATTGAACATTCCCTGCAAACAAGAAACACAGCCGATAAGAATTCATATAAAAATAACAATTTTTGAAAATGAAAACCAAGTTAATTTGCTTGTGACTGAAACATTGTATGTCAAGTGTACCTTAGCACGTCTCAGGATGGAATCTTTGCTGGCGTCGTACGGGTGATCTTTGCTCGGAATTTCCAGCACTGCAGGTATCGGTTGAGTGTGACTGTCGATCACATGACGAATCATCTCGGCTACCTAAGAAACAAAACATTGTCCGAACTGAGATTTAGGAAGTACAGGTAAAGCATAAATTATTTTATTGATCTTTTTTTACTAGGTTTCCGACCGTCGTCAGAAGAACTGAAAAATTGACAATGAAATGCAAATAATTTGCTTTTAATTTTTCTCACGTAACAAACAGTTTCTTATGAGAATTTAGTATCACATTTGAACACTTACATTTTGATTGATGAGAATGATGTCGATGTCATCACGTTTGATAAATCGTTTGAATGTGTCTTCTATCTCACTTACTGGTGTGTCTGCAAAAATCGTCGTTTCATAATATTAATTTTATAACAAAATTTGAATGACAATGATTAATTATTTTTTTCACTTTAAATATTTCACAGATTATTTGTTGCACATATAATTTTTTTCTATATTATTCACCGTTCAGTCATCTATACTGTTCCATTTCGGTATATTCACATTTTATATTTACAGAACATATTATTTATTGACTATCACACGTACTTTTGTCAACGACCATAAAATTCGGCTGGCGATGCTTGTTGATCTCTCCGACTCCACCCAGCAAAAAGCCCACGCAAGTATCCTACGATAACATCTATCATTTAACAATCCTTGTTACGCTAATTTGTCAATAGTCATAACGAATTATTAAATTTTTTTTTTTTTATGAAGTATGCACGTATTTTTCAACTGGATCGATGTAATCGCGTTTTTGTAACGCAATTCACTGAGAGCGAATTAAATTGTTTGCTTGTTTTTATTTTTCTAATTAATTTTTCCCCTCGAAAGTGACAGCTCAAAACCGAACAATAAAGAGATTTGTGATATTGTGTAAATACATGAATGTAAAGTTCTTCACGCACCTCGTCACCGATCACCGCCAAAAGTTTTCCCTTTCCCGCGGAGTGAAGCGCCATTATGAGAGCGAAAAGATGCGGACAAATCGGACTTTTCACACAAAGATTCGATCGTCGTCAATCTCGCGGGACGGGAATCACGGGGCTCTCTTCTCGCGCATCAGCTGACGTGAGCCACGCCACGAGCGTCACGTGCCGTTCAAGGGTGTAAACTTGAAGAAAAAAAAAGACACTTCAACGCCATCTCTGACGACATCAACGAACATCATCTCTCGTATATCTCGCGATCTTTCCTTCTGTCGGCACACGCCTTTAAATCGCACAGTTATGTACACATACACAACATATGTATCTGGTGTATGTTGAAGAGAATACGTTGCATGATGCAAGCGTGTATGTACGAGCGCACGTGTTCGGAGAAGAAACGGGGAGATAATTGTTTGCGGCTTGTTTAATGTGGCAACAACAAGAGACAAGCGTATCCTTAGTAAATTGATCTAATACAGCAAGTTACACGCGAAGTGAAAGGGATAAGTGGCGAGTACGCAAAGTGAATGGTTGCATCTTGAGCGATTAAATCTTCACAGCAGGTTAAAAATATCTACATTTTATTTTTTATATAAATTTTCTATTCGTCATTCGATGCATTCATTTGATGCAATTTTCTGTAGATTCATCATCTTTTCGCGCATTTTAAATTTTATTGTTAAATAAAACGTATGCTGATATTTATTGTTTTATACACATAATTTGTTGAAATATTAAAATTTTGTTATGTTTATCAATATTATTACGCACAGTACGTGTAAAAATTTTTTTTCATATTATAGAGTCATTGAATATCTCATGTATTGTTTTGCAACTTGTCACATAAGTGGTGTTTTATGGAATGATATTATTTGTATATTTTTTCAGATGATGCAACATCTATTGTACATGAGCATCATCAGATACTGTCTGCGTCTCGCTTTCACAAATCATTGTCTATGACAACCTTTTTGTCACGTTAATAGCAACATCTAGCGAATTTATTTAGAGAAGATTGTATTATATAATTGTTTCTATCTCTTGAGAGGAGCTAATATAAGTACCTTCTGTGAAGGAGTCGTTTATAAGTAAAAATGGTGAGGGAAGCGTTGGACGAAATCAGGGAAATGATAAACTCGGACGACGACGGGTCCGTTCCGTCGCCGTGCGACGATCGACACAAACATCCGGAAAAAGTGCAGATGAAAAAACAGTTGGGACTTTTGGAAGGAGTGGCCATTATATTGGGGATTATATTCGGATCCGGTACGTCTTTCGTGAATCGAGAAACTTTGATTCTTTAACTATAAAGTTTTCTCTTTTTTTACAGACGTTTGTATTGGAAATGAATGTTATGTATCAACTAAAATGCGAAGTTTTACGGAAACAAAATAGAACTGTTTTGTATTCGCAGGTATCTTTATCTCACCGAAGGGAGTGATACAAGAGGTGGGCAGTGTCGGAGCATCCCTCATTATATGGGTTTTGTGCGGTTTGCTGTCTATGATCGGCGCTCTGTGCTACGCGGAATTGGGTACCAGTATACTTCGGAGCGGAGGCGATTACGCTTACATTCACGAGGCTTTCGGCGAGCTGCCTTCGTTTCTGTATTTGTGGGCCGCTAACTTAATTTTCGTGTAAGTAAATTATATAAGATAATATCAGAGGATCTCAACACAGAATCGTATTAATTGCGAGAGCATTGCAAAAGATGTGTTCCGCCGTTATTTGCAGACCTACAACAAATGCTATCATGGCGTTGACTTTTGCTCAGTATATCGTGGAGCCGTTTTTTACCACTTGCGCAACACCCGACGACGGTGTGCGACTAATTGCTGCACTGACTTTATGTAAGACTTCGGTATCTATACGCGTATAAAAAAAAAAAATAAAAAAACAGATTACACTAAGTTTATAAGTTGTAAACTATTTATAGTCTCTCTGTATTTTTAAAAACAGGTTTGCTTACTTTTATCAATTGCTACGGTGTGAAAGAGACTTCAATAATGCAAAATATATTTATGTACGCGAAAGTCGCGGCGTTGGTGATTATTATTATAACTGGATTGGTCTGGATCTGCTCGGGTAAGTCTCGCGATAAATGTTTTGTTGTTGTTGACGTTTACTTTTTATATACTTTGCACTTCATACAACACAGTTTATTGTGTCAATTATTAGGTCACACGGAGAACTTTGAGAATAGTTTCGAGAACACGAATGTCGATCCCGGAAAAATCGCCGTGGCTTTTTATTCCGGCATATTTTCTTACTCGGGATGGAACTATTTGAACTTCATGACGGAGGAATTGAAAAATCCCTATGTGTAAGTTTCTCTGATGAATAATTTATTCGTTTTTTCTAAATGTTGTTAATATAAAAATAATATTATATTCTTCGCCAGAATCAAGTTATTAATAGAATTGATTAATAAGTGATTAATCATATATTGAACTGAAAGAAGAACTTAACTTTCGTTCCTAACAGAAATTTACCACGCGCGATTTACATATCACTGCCGTTGGTGACTTTGATATATGTTATGGCAAATATCGCTTATCTGGCGGTTTTAACACCGTCTGCTATGATCGCTTCCAGTGCCATTGCTGTGGTAAGCAATAATTCACATTTGAGCACGATCTATTAAATCTAAGTAGTTACGTTAAAGCAGTATGTACAAAATTCAATGTTTCTTTTTTGTTTTTTTTTTTATACATATAAGACTTTTGGCAATCGGCTTCTGGGCGTTATGGCTTGGATAATACCCGTAATGGTAGCTGTGTCCGCCTTCGGCGGGTTAAGTGTTCACATCATGACTTCATCCAGAATGTGCTTTGTCGGTGCCAGAAACGGACATTTTCCTTCGATGCTGAGCCACATCAATGTGTCTAAATTCACGCCTACACCTGCCTTGGTATTTCTGGTGCGAATCCTGATTTTGTTTTCAAGACTTCTAATTTGTCACAAGAAAACTGCAAAATTTCATGTTACACTTGCGTTTTGAAATTTGTTTTTTTACGTAACGCATTTTTGAATCATCTTTTAACACTTGCAGTGCATTTTGTCTTTGCTGATGCTGTACACGAGCGACATCTTTAAACTGATCACGTACTGCAGCATAGTAGAGTCTTTTTTTATCATGATCTCTGTGGCTGGAATCTTGTGGTTGCGTTACAAAAAACCCAACATGGAACGACCGATCAAAGTATGTATCGTGTCTCATATATAATAAATTTGTCAATTAACACATATCTATTTGTCAGAGTCTCTAATGAAAATTCTTTTTTCAGATACCTTTAGCGATACCAATAGTGTTCGTCGCGTTGTGCGCTTTTCTGGTTGTTCTGCCGTGTTTGGTAAGGATAGAGGAAGTTCTCATGGGGCTTTTGATCACTCTGTCTGGCGTACCCGCTTACTTCGTCGGCGTCGCTTGGAAAAACAAACCCAACTGGTTTCAGAAATATAACGGTAATTCGTAATTCTCGCAAATGCGATTTGGTTTTGTTCGAAATTCAAAAAGTATAAGTTTAATCGGTGCGTTATATATTTTGCGTTGTGTGTTTGCAGTTAAACTTACCCATATCGTGCAGAAAATATTTCTATCTGCGAGAGAAGAACGAGAAATCGATTAACCGAATGTGGAAATATCCATATCACGACTGAATGAACGGATTTGAATAGTCGGTGAGGTTTCAGTGATGTACTTACGTATCTCTGAGAAATACTTAAGTACATTTAAGAATTCTTTATGAAAGTAAAGAAACTTCGCGCGTCGCGGCTTACTTAAAGCCAAAAAAATGCTGTTACATCGAGAGATGCATTGTGAGTGTTCGGTGTTTTCCCTTTGAATTTATACGTAAGCGTATTTTCTAAGGGAACGCAAACTAATTGCTTCTTTGTAATAAAAAGTCATTGACAATATACGTTTAATAATATAAATATATATATATATTTCTTAAATATCGGAATTTTTCCGATTGAATTCAAAGTTGTTTAATGGACACCATTATTGCACTTTGCGATGTATAGTATTCTCTTTAAGAAAAGAATTATGATCTTTTTTTCTTTTCAAAAAAAAAAAAAAGATCAGGTAGATCTGAAAGTTGCATTTTATCGTTTTCACTGGTTGCCAAAGGAATGTCTTTCGTGTGTTTAGTATTATTAATATTCTTTTTTTTTATTATTATTAAATTAATATATATATATATACGTATAATTTATTAACAATCTATTATATATAATTTATTAACCATCTATTGTGTTAAAAAACCGATTATATTATTTCTGTTTGATCGATCGATTGCATTAAATAATTGGAGAATTGAAAAATGCTGTGTGCTTTTCATATATTTTTGAATTTTAGAAATTTGTATATTTTGATAAAATTATATATTACTGTGTATCATATATATATAAGCAATTTGTGATGATCTAAAGCCAACAAGTTCCTGAACCAAATCCGAAAAGATCCAATAAACCTGTTCGACACCTTTGACTATGTAACCATAGACTGCTGGTTGATGCTCTCGATGCTGCAGCGAAGATTAATAGTGCCTCTGTTGCCTAAGTGGCAGGAAAGAGCAATGAAGTTTTTTTTTTTTAAATAAACGGAGACGTTCGAAGGCGAAAAACATTGGCGACGTTCAGCAGAACGCAATCGTTTGAAGCTGCTTTTGCAACTCTTTTTCTTTGACATGGTTATTCTTGTAGATTCTGTCGAATCTTCAAAACCAAAGACCTTGTTAAATAAAAAAAAGTTGCAAATGCAACATAAACGTTCTGCTGAACGCGACCATTGTGAAAATAGTAGAGGATAACCGGCAGTTCGTGTAAACAAGAATCTCAAACGAAAGTGCGCGCGATTCTGATCTTATAACGTTACATTTTTATACTTGCAAGACGCGTGATAGAACAAAACATGAAGACTCTCGATATGCGAGAGAAATCCTCAAGTCACCTCAAAAAGTATTTCGAACTCATGATCCGACATCACTGAAAGATACATTTATTTGAGATATATTTTGAATTAAATAATAAAATATACGCGAACATATACCACCTGGTCCGCTATATCACTTGCGCAATCAAGTGTCTAAGATCTCGTGTGTGCGTCCTTCATCTATCTATTTTAAAAGTAAGTGTGTAAACTTTTATAGTAAACACTTTTATGTTATTTATTGCAGGATAAATTTATTTTTTTCATATAATTAACAATTACAACTTCTGATTCTAGAAAAAATGGATGTAATTTTGAAAATCCGTGTAGAGAGAATCTGTGGCGCTACGGCCTGTAGCAAGGTGAGCGTACTTCCCCAGAGGTGCCTAGTTCGCAATGGGCTGATACACCAGGCTCTCGTCGGAGGTGGAAAACACCATCAATGGACGGTAGGTAAATTCCGCTCACCTACCGCGGTGCACTTCACCTCCGGCCTCAGCACAGATCAGGACGAAAGAGTAAGAGAGAGAAGAAGAAAGAGAGAGCTAGAGCCGACCAGTCGATCGGTTGCCGTGTGGTGTTACGTGTGTGCTTTCAGTTCAACAGTGTGTCTCCGACGCGGTCTTTCGCGATCCTTTCCCGTGTCCTCTCTCTTTCTCTCTTTTTCCTCCTCCCTCCACCTGTCACACATTTACCCACACACGAAGTAGACCATTCTCTCTTTTTCTCTCTCTCTCCTCCTTGTCGCGCTGTCCAAGACTTTAAACCTCGTTCCAGTTGCTGGTTTGTTGTGAGCACCGCAGTTCGTCGAAGTGGAGAACACGGATTTGAATTTCCCTTCCTGACTCATCTCTCTGGACTTCTTTCTTATTTGATCCGACGCACACAGTCAGTGGATGAACGAGCGCGTTCGTGGATACACGTATATATATATGACTGTGCGAAAGAATGCGGTAGGATGCGCATCCAGAAAAGATGCTTCCTGCTAGGACTCTGCCTCCTAGGCGGGGTCGCCCTTTCTTTGACCGCCGATACCGAAGTGCGGATTACTACGACACCCGGTAAGTTTTCTCGCTTCAAGGGTAAATCTGCGATTTTAGAAGAAGAAAAAAAAACGAGTCGTCTCTCCTTGCCGCGATTACCGCGAGAAGCAACTTCCGCCGATAAGTTCAATAAGGAAAATTGTTTCAATACGCACGAGTGTACGTATATGTTTGTTAATTCATCATTAAAAACCGTTCTGCGAATATATAAAAACACGAAGTTTTTACTTTCACGCGCGTTTAAAGAAACGGCAATAATTTGCAACGGCGGGAACATTTCGTCGATTAACAAAATTTAAATTTGTAAAAAAAAAAAAACAACAAAATTTATAGAACGTGCGCGCCAACACCTCTTGTGCGAGCAATTTTCTAAATCTCTGGTCCTCGCGTACAACGAAACCCAACGCACATATGTTTGAAGATATCGAAAAACTTACGGGGGACCAACGTTCCGATGTGAAATTTGACTTGCAAGAATTCGATCGCCACTTGGAATTTCCCAGCGCTACTTCGAAAGAAGATGAATATGTATGTGTCAGGCGCATTGTGGCGACAGAAAGAAATCAGGTTGTGAGAAGTGTCGCGAAGAGAAGTCGCTTGAACACACACACGCACATCGCGCGCGATTACATATGTATATATATATATATATATATATATAGATATATATATATTGTAACTTTTACTTTTAATGCAAAATACTCTTCTCGCGAGCGCATTTGAGAGCGCGCGACTACGCGCGGCGGATTAGGAATTCGCGGGATCGTCGAATCAACATTTATAAAATTAATGATGGGACACCGCGTCGCAATAACGACGAAGTCACATGCAACGTGTTCGTGTGCGCCCGGGCCTCTTTCTGGATCGCTGATTTCAGATAGTTTTGTACCGGCTTTCCCCACCTTCTTCCCTTTCACATCACTTGTGCGAATGCCGTTACTCGTCTACTAAACACATCTTGATTCCGTTACGCTTGGTGACCCAATCAAAAAGGCGATATTAGTGTGTACAATTGTTGTTTCATCCGTCCGCATATATATATCGTTTTTTTTTTTTTTTTGCGATACCGTGTGTGCAACGCAAAATAAAATCTATTTTGCGTTACCGCATATAATCCGAATTTCACGATGGAGAAGCAACGCGATGAAGCAACAACACCGACTGTTGTTGTGCGTCCGCTGCTGTTTCTCTTGTATTGGGAACAGTGTGATGATGTGATTCCTATCTTATACTAATTATGTTTCTTATATTATCGCGCAAAAAAGAAACTGTACGTAACATAAATATCTTCTTTTTTTTGTAAGTGATCAGACGTCAATAATTTTTTGTTCGTTCTATTTTAATTTATTTATTTAACACACATACGCCGAGAATGAGTGTGAAAGTCACACTACTGTGACAATTTATAGTGTGCACACGCGCCCGCATTTTTTAAATCAAAAATCGCTTGGAAAACTTTGTAATTAGGTTTTGCTAAATTTTCGATTCGTTATCGCAACCGCATATTAAAACCGGCTTTAACTCGGCTCGGCACGTTTTGGTTCGAGAAGGAAAGAGAAATCACATTTACAGTTTTTTTTTTTTTTGTTGAATCTCATTTTCTCATTTCATATTATCGTTTCCGATATAAAATTGCCCGAGTTTGCCAGACTCGAGCAATTTGAACGATAAATTTTAAAAAACAAAATTTCACCAGGTCTGTGCATGACACAGACTCGAGAATTGTCGAATATATCATTCGTTTCGTGTTTTTCGTAGATACGAACGGTGAAAATACCGTAAACGTGCAGCCTCTTAGCGCGGAATGGCGGAATAATGACACGACAGAACCGAAGAGTGCGTACCCGACGAAAGAGGCCGATATTAAGGTCACGACCGAGGCGAAGAAAAAACCCGTGATAGATTTCAAGATAAAGAGCGATCAGAAGTATCAGAAACCCGTCGTCAAAGACGACGACTCGAGAAGAGTCGTCGTCGTCGCGGATAACGACGCTCCGTCGTCATCTCCGATCTTATCCGCGACGACGCCGATGAAGCCGCAAGTCTCGACGACGACGACGAAACCCACGGACTTCGCTAATGTAACAGTGCCGTTTCTTCTTCGCGGCGAACCGATCGTTTCTCTGAGGAAGTCAATGCCTTCGATGAGCAACGTCACCATTCGGGACACGATTAACAGCACGAAAGTGACGAAGGAGACGCGAGGCAGGGCCTTAAATATCTCCGCTCCGGAGCCGATAAATTCACTGAACGCCAATATAACGGATCTCAGTGACGTCAGCATGGACGAGGACGACAAAGAAGTCGAAGGTGAGAGCGAAGGTGCAAATGCTTAAATTACTTTTGTAATTTGATAATTATTGATGCCGCGCACGCGAGAATGAAATAAAATGCGCGCGATGTTATTCATACAGATTGTACGAGATCCGATAAGAATTAAATTAATGATGATGATGATGACGATGGTAGAGAATAGAAACGTGGGAGAACGCGCGAGAGCTCTGTTATCTCTTATTATTTCCAGGTGGTGAATACGTCGCGTCCCACAACGAAACCGCGGCGGTGAACATCTCTTCGACGTTGCTCCCGAAAGTGTGCGTCCACGAGAACCGCACTTATTCGACGGGCGAGAGGATCGTGCGAGGTTGCGAGGAGAATTGCGTTTGTACCGAAAACGGAATTGCAAATTGTCAGCCGTTGTGCGCTCTACCATACGTCAGAGCTGACGAGGAGATCCAGGATTCCAAGTGTCAGAAAAAGCCAATCCTCGACAATCCTTGTTGCGCTTTTCTTTCGTGCGTCACAGATTCGGGTACGTTTCTTCATACACGTTTATATATATACTATAAGGGAGAGAAAGTGAAGAGAGACGTCTTCTTATACTGTGCAAAAAATTCGCTTAAAAAAACGTAACTGTTCGCGATGTAGATACCGAACCGGATGAGATGTGCACGTTCAACAACAGAACGATAGCCAGAGGGCAAAAGGTCGAGGACGGTTGCTCCAGAGTGTGCGTTTGTGAGGCCGGCGGCTATTTGAAGTGCGAACCCAGATGTCCGCCAAACGAGACCTCCGCTCTGGTCGGTCAGCATGATCGCTGCGTCATATTGTCCGATCCCAGGTACGATTCTCATTGGCTTGAAGTTATAAACGCGAATTGAAACCCTCGAGAGGAAATCGTTTGTTTAAATCCTGAGCTGTGAGTGCTTTGCTTCTTTAGGGATTCCTGTTGCCCCATCACGCTCTGCGACGTTACCTTGAGCGACTTCGAGATCAAATCAGAAAATTCCACCGATTTAAGTGTAAATTTGTTGGACGTGAAGGTTTTAAACTCGACGGCGATTAAATTGAAGTTGTCCGCGAAGAATCCTCAAAACGTCACCATAGAAATCTCGCAAAGCAATTCGCATCACTTGTGGACGCCTCAGAGACCCGACAAAGGTAGTTAAGCTTCATTATTTTAGACAAATAGATATTTGTTTTACGGAGTTTCTTACATACAGTGTTTTTTTTCTTAACAAAATTTTCACTTTTTTGAAGTGAAGAAGAAGAGAAACATTTTCTTGAGAGAATTCTGCGAAAAATTTTTTTTGCGAGAATCAGAAAGACACTTATTATTTTTTGCAGACGGTGTGATTGCGAATTTGGAACCCGCGCATACGTATTACGTTCGTGTGGTGGAAGGAAGTCGCGCCGGACCGGCTATACAGGTGGTGCTGCCGGCGGAGATAGTGAAGGCAAATATTTCTGAGAAAGCGCCCGACAAAAATTCGTGCAATTACAAAGGAAAGTCGTACAAAATCGGAACTGAGTGGTACGACGGGTGTGTCTTCTTTTGTGTTTGCGCGGAGAGCGGCGTAGCCGAATGCCGCACGATAGAGTGTCCCACGGATGTCGGACTGGATTCGCTGGATCCAAATTGTTTAGATTGGGAGACGATCCCGGCGAATCCGAAACCACCGCATTGCTGTCCGCAGGTACAGCGCGTGTTCGATTCGACTTTCTTCTAGGATTGTAATTTTAACGAGCATTTATTCTTTTATGACAATATCTCTAAACTCTTAGATTCAAGATAGTAAGTAAGTTATTTTCCGAAATAATAACGTCATTGTTAACTCTCTTTTAGGAAGCACGGTGTAGAAACAATGGCTCCTGCGAGTACGAAGGCGTCACGTACAACAACTGGAGCGAAATACCGTCGAACGTCACCGGTTGCGAGAAACGTTGCGTTTGCGAAATGGGCAACGTATCTTGTCAAAATCTTTGCAAACCCGTGCCGACCTCGCCATCAAATTTGCCGTGTCCTCCTCATCAAGCGATACTGACACACTCACCTTATAATTCATGTTGTTTGCAGTGGACCTGCCAAATGCCGCCGCACATAGGTAAATAGAACAGTCAGAGATGGAAACACACACACACACACACACATACACTGTACAAAACATTCTAATTCTTTTAACTCTTAAGGATGCACGTAATATTTGGGATTGTACGACGTAGTGTTATATTTTTAACCTTTCCTCCCTTTTTTATATCAAAATAAGAAATCGGACAACTCAATATTTTCAAATTTATTTTCTTATTTCGGTTGAAGTAATTACAATCTGAATTATACACGTGTCTCGTGTTTCTTAATCGCATTATTACGTTTCATCTGACCTTGTTGACGTGTCACATCGTGTTAACGGAGCTTTAAGTATCCCCCTCGGTTTACACATATGGTTTACATACTTGTCAATCTCTTTATTCTCCCCTTACTGTACATATTTCATGTTGAAAAAACAAAAGGTGCAATAACCGAAAGCTGTAAATCATGCTTCATGTAGCCATGGCTGCGCTGGGAAGAATGTTGAATGTTATTGGATCTCGCTGTAAATATATGCATGGACTTTGGACAATTCGTGGACCGGTAACTGACAATTTCTGTGACAATGGACTTTACTTATTGCAGGAGCGAACACGACGACCGCGTACCGCGGCCCCTTAGCCACAGACACGTTCGATCGGCAAACGATTGACAGTATCAAAAGACCAAATAACAAGTCGGAAACGCCCAGCCAGGAACCGGAGCGTGGCACTTTCTCTTTATCGGAAGACCCGAAAGTCTATAAGACCCAAACTGACTCTGCTACTTATGATTATCCTCACTATCCCATGGATCCAGGACATCCGACAATTCCTTACACCGGACCGTACAATCCCGACTTCGTGTTCAATCACTCCGTCACGGAGGACGTTTTCCATTTGAACGCTCACTCCGAAAAGCCGTTATCGATTCCAAATATGTCCAAGGACAAATCGAAATCGAAGTCCGACGCTAAAAAACCTGTGGAGTTGCTAAAACCTCACAAAGAAATAACTGACCATTATTTTCCTGGTCCGTTAGCTCTCGATAGATTTCCCTATAAAGCCACTTCGATGTTTTCGGATCCTGCCAACGAGACTCATTACGTTCCAGGAGTAATGGATTCGAATAAAATAATTTCTCAAAAAAATCATTCGATCGATCGGCCTCAGTTTGTTTCTTTGAATCCTCATTCGGACATGTCAAACTTAGGATTCTCACTCGCGCCTAACAACGAAGGAAACATTTCTCCACTCGGTATCAATTCGCAATCCAATTCCGCAATCGGACCTTTTCATCGAGATTCAATTCCTCTGAAATCCGACTCGATCGATCCGAACGTAATTCTGCCTGCAATTTCGAAGAAGAAAACCACGTCAAATGTGCCTTTTGCGGAAAAATCAAAACCGCCTCCCCCTATGACGCTGGATCGTCCAAAACAGGATCAGAAAACCGGTCCCGAAACTTCGCCGGAGCAGCTGTATCTCTTGAATTTGCAACATCCCGATCTGATTAATCTCGATCATATTCCTTCCCAAAATCCGACTATGTACGAGCAAATTCCTGATCAGAAACAGTCGCTGAAGAACCGAGTGCAATCTTATTTCGGAACGTCCCCTTCCGCGTCGAAAAAGACAACGAAACCCCAAATCTTCGCGCAGAAGAATCCAAACGGACAGACCACTTATCACGTTTACACGCCCGACATTCCGAACACTCCGCAGCAGATCGAGGAACTGTTAGCGCACATTGAGCAACACGATTCCAATCCCGGACCCTTCCAACACTATCCCGAACAATCAGCCATACCTCATAATGTACCGAACGAACCGGCGTCCACTCTGCCGCTTCACATAGACGCTCACATACCACATTCAGGACTTACCCACCCATTCGCAGCACAAACGCCCAATCAGTCAGGTTCGTTTCTGATTACCAGAAGAGATAACGCACATCATATATATATATATATTTTAACAGCGATAACAGTCGCGTTTGAAGCAAACAGGCTGACATTCCTCATGTTTGCAAACTAAAATATTTTTCCATTATCAATATTTATTCGATGTCACATATATATACATATAAATTAATCGAGAGAGGAATAAAGTTATTATCCGATGCATCTCTAAAGAGTACAAATTACAAATTACAAAAATCCTTTAATCGAACATTATTTTTTTTTTTTTTTTTTTTTTACGTTTAGTTATACATCAAGGAAAAATCATTTAAAATATATATTCTCGAAAGATTCATGTCTCTTACACATATGTACTCTTAATTTCAATAAAGAGAAGTTACCAAATTTCTCGCTATTATCGTTGCAGTGCAACGATAGTAAATACACTATATGTATCTGTATATTACAGGTTTGGATCATAATATCATACCTCCAGGCTTCTCATTATCCGGATTTCCAGCTCCTCCGACTTCCTCCAATGAAGTTACGATACAAACGCTCGAAGCATTGAACGAGACCACAGTTCGGCTGGTGTTCACTGTACCTCAGGTCCTGGTGGGATTGCACGGAAGAGTGGAGCTACGTTACACCAGTAATATGACGTACGTATGTAGTTTAAATATCGTCTGTTTTGCGCGCGGAGATCTTATTTTAAATTTTTATAAATCGAGTTCTCGAACAAGTTCGCGAGAACAGTGCGTTTTGTCAAGTCTTCGTCTGCGACAATTTGTCAATGTTCGCTCTTGACGTCTCATCAGAATCTTTTGTCCTACAGAAATATCGACTCGTCCACGTGGAAAGCGCAAGTGTTCGCTCCTCCTGACGATCTGATCGCTACACCTCAACTCGAGTTCGAGTTGGGTGATTTGAAGCCGATGACCGACTACAACATGAAGATCACGGTTAAACTGAAGGATCTAGCCAATAGCCCGAGCAGTAAGATTTACAGTGTGCGCACGTTAGAGAAACACGAGGAAGTCACGACTTTGCCGCCGCAAATAGCGATTAACGCCGAGCTCAGAATAGCGGAGACGAACTCGACCTGGGTCAATGTTATGTGGAAGAAATTCACGGAATATGAGTTGCAATTTATAGACGGTGTTCAGTTGTGGTATAAGGAACGCGACGGTAAAGTTTACGCAACAACCCCGCTGATTCATCGCGCTGTAACGAATTATATAATCGAGAATCTGAAACCGTCAACCACATACGAAATTGTAATCTACTTTATACCGTTCCCGGGACAATTGACGGAATTAATCAGCGAGAAAACGGTAAGATGTTTCAAATTATCGTCCAAGTGATTTGATCTCGTGTATGTGTATAAATTGTGTGATCGCGTTTCAACCTATTGTAGATTCAAGTGACCACATCCGTAGAGCCGGATCCGTATTCCTTCGACGTGAAGGTCGAGATCAAGACCGTCAAATCGACAGACGTCGAGGTTGCGTGGAGCGGAGTTCCCTATCCGGAAGACAAATATGTGAACATCTACCGAGCAATTTATCAAAGCGACACTGGCAAGGAGGATACCAGCACGTTCAAGATCGCCAAGAGAGACTCTCACACCAAGACTGTAATAAGCGATCTCAAACCTGGCACTAGATATCGACTGTGGCTCGAGATATATCTGACGAATGGCAGAATAAAAAAGAGCAATGTTCAGGACTTCGTTACCAAACCCGGCATCCTCTTGCAAGACAGCGCGTCCCACCAAGGTAAACAATATAATTTTCAGATAGATGATTTTTCTCGATCACTTTTGTGTCTTTCATCATGGTGCTGTTTTGTGATTTTGTTAGAAAACACAATTTTTGTAATTCGTTTTCAGCCGGAAAATACGCGTCACTGCCTCTTTACGAAGCGGATTATTACAATCCTCTGGTGATAGTGGCCATCGTGGCCTCGCTTGCAATATTGTCCACTCTGATCTTACTACTGATGCTGATGAAGAGACGAACGAGCAGCAAAGCCGACATATCCCCGCGTAAAACGTCCTCGGCGTACGACAATCCTTCCTACAAGGTAGAATTACAACAAGAGACTATGGGTAATTTGTTGTTATTATTTCTTTTTCTTAGTTTGAAATGTAAAACATTTCGATCGTTCAGAAATACTCTCACGTGTAATGAACGTTTTGTTTCTTAGACCTGTGAGGACGCGGTCACGATATCCAACGGTAGAAATAAACAGGCAACGGATCACGAAATGACCACCATCAGCTCGAACATCAAGGAAACTGCCCGAGATTCTATATAATTTATTAAGTATGTATTTATTTATACATATATTTCCTCTCTTAGATGTGGAATTATCTTAAGCGTTCAATCGAATCCGTCCTGTATCCTTGTGTTCAATTACAATACGGGGAAGATGCATTATTTTTATACGATATCAGAAAAAATTCTCAAGTTATTAAAATACATATATATATAAATATTTTTAGATAGGTCTTATAATTGTGTATAAAACTTTTAAGATCGAGAGATTAACAATAATGTTTTAGCGCATTAAGGACATGTATATAGTATTGTTATGTACCATTTCAATATTGCATGAAGTACATGTATGTACATACACACACATACACACGCACATACATACGTATTCTCTCGTATATTACCGTAAAATCGACAACAACTACTACTAGCCTAATTATTATCCCATCCGTTTGTATAACTTAGAAGTAACAGATAAAACCAAATTTTATTACTTTATAACAACAAAAATGTAAAATTCTAAATAAATTAAATGTACTACAGTAAGTGTAATACAGTAAATTTAATACGTGACACCTTAGTTTTCTCTCACTGTATTTCTTCTTGTGCATTTACACACGCGCAGTTAAATTTTAAACTTGTTTATTGTTCTTGTTTGTACTCTGTCTCAGATTAAAATTTGTTTCAATGAGATTTTTATAAATTTTCTAAAGGAGGTTTGTGTGAAATAAAACTACTAAAAGTGTGTACTTATACAACAGATTGACATGAGAGAGATAAAAGAAACAAACTATAAAAAAGGTCTGCTTCAGAAAGTTAATCTTTATTAGTAACAGTGGTGTGTATAAAAATATAGAAATTTACATACATATATATATTGCACTCAATATTTTATTTTTTTTTATTTTTGTTTTACACTATATTTACGAAAACTTTTCTTTATATAAACACTACTCCGGAACGTAAGGAGAAAAAATGAGTTTACAAATCTTGTTTAGTATTACAACTATGTACATAACTGTAATATTACATGAGTATATTGTTAATATATTGTACGTAAAATTGTTACAAGTCCTATACATAGAGAGAAGCGGCGAGTATTGTCTTACAAATTGTTTTAAAAGTACTTTTTCAAAGTGTCTTCCATATCAAACGGGGTGGTAGTCGGAGCGAATCTCTCTACCACTTTGCCATTTTTGTCGACGATGAACTTGGTGAAATTCCATTTGATATCGTTGGTGAGAAGACCCTCCTTTTGCGTCTTCAGCCATTTGTACAGCGGATGAGCGTTGTCGCCGTTCACGTCAATCTTCTCGAACATGTCGAAAGTGACGTTGTACTGCTTCACGAAGTTTTGAATCTCTTCGGACGTGCCCGGTTCCTGTCCGGCAAATTGATTCGAGGGAAACGCGAGGATTCTCAAACCCTTGGACTCGCTGTACTTGTCGTACAGTTCCTGTAGCTGCTTGTAATTCGTTTCCGTTAATCCGCAGTAACTGGCGACGTTGACGATGATCAACGTGTGGCCGCGATAATTCTTCAACGGCACGTCCTTGCCCGTGATGTCGTTCGCGTGAAAATCGTAGAACGATTTAGCCGATTGCCAATCGGTGTCCTGATTGAATTCCGACGCCGGTGTGGAACAGTTTTCGTCCTTTTCTCCGCAATCTTGCGCGAAGGATGTCGCGACGAGCAGACACACAAATACGAATTCTACGAAAAACACGAAAGAAAAAAATCGTACAAATCCGCATCTCATCGTGATGACTAATGATGTCATCGTCGCGTGTGATAATATAATCAATTATAATATCATCGCGCAATACTCCATTTTTTCTTAATATGATTTCTGCGCAATTTCAACACAAAAGGATAATTTTATACAAGAGAATAACCGAAAAAACACAAAACTTACATAAAGCAAATTGAATATTGCACTTTGTACCTCTATATCGCATACGTGTGTGTTTATCGTGCCTGGCGCGAGATGTGTGCAAAATTTTTTATAATACTCATCTTTTCGATAATTTCTAAAAATTCATGACGAAATCTGCCGAAGATAAACAAATCGTACATTCGCTCTTTTCATATTTTTCTCCAATCCAGCACTTAATCTTTTATATTGAAACAAAAATGATTTGCAAAATAAAATTATTCGTTATCGGTTTTATTGGGAAAATTACGTACATTCTTGTGAAATTGAGTGATTCGAATATTAATTGAAATTGATTTTGTTTCTACTATTTTGTTTATAACGACACGAATTTGCGAGTTTTTGAAGATTCTTGAAGAAAACTACAATAAAAGATTGACAAAAAAATTTCAATAATACTCACGCAACATTTTGTCGACTCCGCAGTTCCAGAACAAGTGGTCGAGAAGATTTCCGATTACGAAATAACGATTCGAATCTATTAGTCACAGGTGGACGTGTGTGTACATATAGAGACTAATCAGAGAGAACAATATCTTATATGTATATATATATATGTGTGTATGTATATACCGCGCAGCTCTCTCAGAGACGTTTGACGGTCCGGGACAAAAGTGTTAGTAGCTTCTAGGAATACGCTCGTTATATACCGGTTTCTCTTCTTGCATCCTGGAACCTTGAGGAAACATTGAACTTTGTCCTTGAAAACAACCGATCAACAGACACGTACAATAGAAAACGTGCACGTGTATGCGTCGTGTCTTATTGTTTATCACGAACGACTTTCTGTCCCGAACGTTCTTAGGATTTACCGAGCTTTAGTTCGTACACGCGGCGCAGCCAACGACTGAGAAAAGTGTAGCTGAGAGACAGTAGCGTATAAATATATATCTGTATAACGGCAACAGTTTTGGCATCTCTGACTCTGGAAGTTATATTTTTTTTAAACTCACACACACACACACACACACACACATCTTCAGCCAGTTTTTTTGTACACGTTATTTGCACGTGATATATATTTTTTTTTTTTTTGTTTTCCGAGTTTTTTATTTTATTCTATTATTATGTCACGTGAATTTAATTTCATTTTAATTCTATTTTTCGAAATTGAAATATCAATAGACAGTATTTTAATTTATATTAAAATATATCGTTTTTTTTTTATTTTATATATTTTGTAACATATTTTCTGCCAAATAAGATTTTTGTCGTATAAAATTGTTTTCACGTCTCATTAATTTCAACTCTTTTTTCAACGCGTCATCTCATCTCACATTGCTCGACTCTTTCGAATATTTGAACAATTTCTTTCGATCGGTTTCACGAAGGGGAGACAAAAAAAAACGCCTTTTTTCAAAACTAGTTAAGCACGTTAGTGAGCGCGAGACTAAACGCCATGTTTACGAACTTACCCAGCCGAGTCCCGGGCCGACTTCTGTCGGCAAAACTGAAAATTGCAACTAATTCGCGGCGCAACTGGTAACCGCGGACAACAAAAAGTTTCACAATGTAATCGCAACATTAACGACCGACAGCCGTGCAATGTGCAAACGAGACACATTGTGCGAGCGAATAGAAAGAGAACGCGCGAAAATGGGCAAAAACGAAGGGAAGTGAAAATTTACGAAAGAAGATGACGCGAAGTCGCACGATTTATTTGATTCGCGCGCTAATTCGATCCGAGATTTCAAAACGCGCGATCGAGTTTGCGTCAGTTCGGCTTCCATTTTTTTGCGATAGATAGCGCGTCGCTTCGAACGGTCTTTCGATATGCGGAGAATCGAAATATCGAGATTCTCGAAGTTCGAACGGTCTGGTACGTATAACCGGTCTCGAGAAACTGCGTTCTATGTTTTTCTTGGATTTTCTTTTTACTTAGAAATTAATTATTTAATCTTACGCGATTAATTAATTAATTAATTACTCACAACTAAAAGGAAACGATGTTGTTTGCGCAGGTCACGCAATCTCATCCTGGATATCAGATTTTTTTCGTTTCTCGCTAGAGAGCGATAACACACACGTGCCGGACTTAAAATTTTCACATGGAAGTAAATTGAATGAATGATAACAAAAGAATCACACACGGGAGCGAGAGCAACAAAATCGTATAACGAAGCAAACGAGAAAAACGTGGAAGCGGGCGTGCGAAAAATCGCAATCGGCTCTGATGTGTGTAACACAGATGTACGAGTAAACAGATAGTTGCAGGCGAACTCATCCGAACATTTATTCGAGAAATTACAATCAGGCCTCTCTAAAATTAATTTATCGAGAGCGAAAGACAATCTTCTCGGATTTTTTTTCGTCTCTCTCTCTCTCTCTCTTTCTCTTTCGTACAGATCTTTCTTCTTTTTTAATCGACACTCTCGTTGTTCCAACAACATGAGACCGATCGTTACACGTTTTGTTCGCTTTCTATAAAATAATAATAATAATAATGCGGTCAGTCTGGGGCGGAAATGTGCGAAGCGGGGACAGAGATTAGCTTTAGAGGGGCCTAACGCGTATTTCGTGCTACATGTTTTCGTCCAAATGCAATTCAGTTAATTAGCAAGAGAAAACAGGAAACTTCGAGTAGTAATACATTTTTTTTTTTTTTTTTTTTTT